TCGCGCACACTCTCCACACCCAACAACTCAAGTGCAACAGCAACAACAATATTTCTGAAAAAAAGAAACATAAAACAACGAAAAAGTAACGCTAGAAATTGTGACTATAGGGTTACCGCTGACACATTTCTGACACTTTTTAGCAACAGGATGCCAAATGATAATACAGTAAAATTCCCTTTTTAAAATATGTTCATAGAGTGGTGCCTGTTAAAAGGATATATGTTACACATGGGTATAATATACCCCCGACTCACAAGCAATACCGGGTATTAAAAAAAAAGCGAAAAAATTATCAAAGCAACAAAAACTCGGTCGAGGACTTCGCATACTCGTGACGGGAACTAGAAACTTTTTATATATACGAGTGTACATAGTACATACGGATTTTCTAAAGCAATTACGTGCGGGTGGTAGTGGTTTCTTCTGGTTTATTAATTTTTATGAAACTCACTTTAATGCTAATTTTATAGGGCCACCACAAACTCACACACACACACTAGCCGATGGTAGGTAGAATGCTGAAAAGTATGCAACGCGGGAATGCAAGCACATCAACAGGGTGAGCTGTGGCAGTGAAAATGGCAGACCTGCTACGAGCAGGTGTCAAGGTGCGAAATGCGTTGAGTCAGGTGCGTCACCTACACCCGGGGGCGCCAAAACACACACCGTTAAACGGCAGCCGAGCAGCGAAGAGGAAATAAAGGAGGAAATTTAAAAAACGTAAATTAAAATGAAAAAGCGCATAACAAGCGAAGTCCGAAGTTTCTGTGCCCTTACCAATCAATGAGCAGTAAAATGTATTTAACAGATCGGATTTTCTGAAGAAAATGCAGAACCAGAAAATGTTGAAGAAATTACTCTTGCTTATTAACATTTCTTTTGGATAATACTCCCTTATGTGGATTACAGGGTATACAAATGGAAGTTAGAGCCCAACAGAGATATGCGATGCCCGTCCGTTATGTTTTGCGATTTACCGGTGGCATCATAATTGCCTTAAAGTGGTTTATATTATTAAATCCATTAGTTAAAACTTGTGGAAAATGAAATTTACTCCATCTGCGTTCATCATTCGCGTTTAATTGCATCGCCGAGTGCAACCGAAATTTGATTAAGCAAAAATAATAACAATCCAGGGGAAATTGGAAAATCGTTTAATTGGCCAAGGCCAGTGGGGCAGCAGCTGGCTAGTTAACAAGATTTACAATCAACGACTTAAACTTTTTAGATTAAACACACAAACTTCAGCTGAATCTCGATGAAAGCCGGAGTTTCGCTTGGTTCAAAAGTTCACAAGTTTCGAATGCACGAGGAATAAAGCGCCTGAGAGCATCACTGAGGCCATAAAATCTCGGCATCTGATGAAAACTAATGGAAATTGCTGCTTGAGTGACTGCAAGGGATTGCAGGAAGGTTGGAAATCAAAAGCTTACACAAGTAAATCCAATATATATTGAATTTCGCTGATAACAAAAATATAGCATATCAAAAGAAGCAGAGACTGAAATAGAAATTTAGCGAACTTTGGCAATGAAATGTTGTTTAATTATGGGAGAGAAAAACAATTTCGATCTTTTCTTTTCCAAATTTTTGTGAATATATTTACTTTTAATCTACGAAGTGCCACTGTGGTATGGCCGTCTCTCCACTACCCCATGGAGAATAACACCACCCCCTCCCACCCCTTTTAATAACATGTTCACAGAAAAGCAGCAAACTTTGTGGAATTAAAAATGAATGCAGCAATCAAACTGCCTGCTGCAATACCGTCAGACATGACGAAAATTATCATTTGCGTGATAAAATTAATGCATTCCCAGAAACTTGAAAATTCAACTGAATTTTCATTGCAGAATATCGATGTGGAACACACACACACACACACACACACACCTGTTCTCGAGAACAAACATTAAAGCATACAAAGTGATGTCTCCATCAATCATACGCAGCGTGAGCCGCCTCTGTGGATGCTTGAAAGCCCAGACATGATAATCATACGCACCGCAGCCACCGACACCACCGCTGTCAAATATATTCCAAAACCTTTGAAATGCAAATCAGGCTAAATTTCCCAACATAAATCCAAATCAAAATGCAAAGGCACACCAGCCCACATACACACACAGCAACAAACACACACACACTCGCACTCGCACTCACCTTTTGTTCTGGGAGGCTGACAGGCTTGTGCCTGTTGTTCTTGATGTGGCGCCTGTCGGTTCCCGTTGGTTCCTGTCGATTCTTGCCGCTTGTTGCTTGTTCTATGTCAAAAGAGCTGCTACAACCTCTTGCTGTGATTGTGGTTGTGGTTGTTGTCGTCCAATTGAATCAATTCAATAGCAATTTGCGGAAAATCCAAATAAAGTAAAAGAAGGAAACAACACAAAAAAAACAGTGAGAAATGCGTGAGATTTCCTTTGGATAAACTTGAATTGCGAGTCTTTTCCTATGGCCATATTCTCACCCCGCCAGGGTGAACGCGAGCGTGTACGTGTGTTGGGGTTACATATGGTAATTTGGGTGGGATTTACAGGGCTTGTTGCACACTGCTACTGCTTAAGCGAAAGGACAGCGACAGGGTCAGGGTCGTGTATGGAAATGACCAAGCCCATTCGGTATTCTCTGTTTCGGTGGATTGGCAATGGACAGTTTATAATCGTATTTTTCAATCTGCAGTCGCGCTCGATTAAATTAGCGGAGATTTTTCATTTCGTTTTTCATTTCTCTCGTTTGATGTACTCTATGTTTTTTTTTTTTGTTTGTTGCTGTCTGAATTTTGGATTTAACACAAAGTTTTTTAAGTTTTATTGGCACAGATGTGCCCCACACGAAACATTGTTTGTATGTTATATTAAACATGTGCCAAAAAAATGTGATAAAATATATGTACATATTTATGTATGTATGTATGTATATAGTGTTGCATGTATGTATATGTACTTTAATAATTTATGTTTTCGTGATTTCGGTTTTTCCACCATTGATAACGTGCACTTTGAATCCTTTAAGTTCGTTGTGGCAACATTGTTGCTGCAACTTATGTTTTCTCTTGCACTTGAACTAGTTTTTCCATACAGCAATTTTCTGCCCTTGCCAACCAACCCCCACCCCGCCCGCACACACCAACACGCACTGATAACGGTATCGCTTGGATGGTTTTTTTTTCTCGAATGGGGATGCTCGGCTCGGCTCCGCTCCACTCTACCTAATGCCACGTCCGCCTTTGTGTGCCACTCAACAGCAACTGTTGCAACGGTCGCAAAGGCAACTTGTGGCTGCCTCGCCATCGGATGCTTCTCACAGCATCTTTGGTGGAGCTTTTGGGGAAAGCTTTCTGCCGCCATACAGCAAACTTCTCCCACCGTACAGCAAACTGTTGATTTTTCCATGTGTGAGTGTGCTCGGGGCGTGTGTGTGTGTGTGCGTCCCAGGAAGAGAGCACAGAAGAGAGACATCTTCCCTAGCGGTTAATTAAGCTCCATTGATATTTGGAATAAACAGTAATTAACTGTTGTTATTGAAATATTTTAAAAACATGGAAAAAAAGTTTTACAAAATTTCATTGAATTTTGTGGCAAAATAGGGTAAAAATCAAAATGTATGCATTACTTTTATTAATGCATTGGAATATGAATACTTTTTCCGGCTCTGATATATTAACGTCCATCATCTACGTGAATTGCGGCCCAATTGATTGATGTCCCTCGAAGAAGCTTACCAATGCAACAGCTACCAATAATAACGTCCAGCCCCCACAAGCCCACAGTGGGGAAAACTAGCCTACTTTTAGAAAAGGCCAGGAATAGATGAAGAGCATTTCGAGAATAACGAAGCTCTTAGTAAATTAGACTTCATAGCATTGCAGGTGCCATCGATGGTGCAACCGCTGGTGCTGCTCAAGGCCCCCAAACCCCCTTTCCCACGCGGTCAACAGCCCCAAACGGAGCGAGGCCACACGCTTTTGCGAATCCATTGAGAGTCCGCACTGCTGGACTAATTGCTACTCTTCAGCAAGGGATCTTGTTACTGAATGACCTACATGCAGAAAATTTCACGGAAACAAACATTATGGGGATGTGGGGGCAGCTTACATTACAATTGTCTTAACAAAGGTACGAAACAACGAAATCAAATTGAGCCGTTTACTTCGTTTAAAGGTGCCCCAAGCTAAGGGACAGCAGGACAATGGGGCGCCAATGAGCGTATGTTTGTGTGTGTAAGCGAAATCTAACGGAACATCTCAACACAAAGTTAGGTGTAGATTCTTTTAGCATACGCCGCCGCTTTTGTTGACTTAATAGTTGAATGAAAGTTAAAGTCTCTCCTGAAATGGCCAGCTGCAGTTGTGGCCTTGTCTATACCTGATTATACCTGTACATTTTCCATGGCCAATAGAGTGAGTGGACTAATCCTGTGCAGCGGTAATCCTATCACAGCTGACCCTGAGGCTGAGCTTCGTTTTGCCAGCGTCCTCTGCACATGCCCCTTATTATAGGTAGGTGCTCTATTTACGCACTGGCCATTCTGAAGCTGCTGCTAATAACTAGCGTCCTTCAAATTCTGGTAATATAAACCTAACGCAGCAACAGGCAGCGCTCAGAGTTTCCATTTTCCACATTCAAATTGTTGTCGGGCCACGGCTCAAAGCTACGAAAGTCAATTGATGTAGCCAACAGAAAACTGGTTGGTACGAACCTTTGATTTGAATTTTCAAATAACGCGCGTTATGACAACCATGGTCATACTGAATCGATATTGGTTAGTGTGACCGCACAGAATTAGGTGATGTTAGGCTGGCAATTTATTTTTTTAATTCGGTTAGAACTTATGCTTTTAATCTCTTGGCCAAGATTAATGACGACCCTGCTCTTCGCTAGTATAGGATATATAGGATTATAGGAGATGATTCAGTGTTGGAAAGTTCTCTGTCCAAACAGCTGACCACTATCGATAGGATGCAGTCGATAGTGGGAGCAACAGTTGGGAATGCACGGTCACATTAAACCTGCCGAAATGTGTTTACACAGTTTAATTGCTGTTTTCTTTATTTGAAACGTTCTTTGTTAAAAAAAAAACAGAACCATAAAGTTAATTGCATCTAATTGCACTATAGCCAGCCTGATTACAGAGGTGAGTAACCGACAGCGCACCAGCCGTCGTCTCATCAAGCGTTTAGCCGAGCCTTTGTTTTCATTGCGCGCAGGCATCAGCTGGGGGCAATAATACTATAGCGTAGTGGCGTATCAGCTAAATATGCGCTATACTACGTGCCCAGACCTTTATCAGCGTTTAGTCGACCACTTTGTAGCCCACATTCACGCTTCGAATCAGTTATTTGCTTGAGGCGCGCGCGTGTGGCGGTGTTTGACACTTGACACTCCCTGGAACGAATCCGTAACCGACTCTCATTTCAGCAGCAGCGGAAAGATGCGTCCGTTCTCCGGCAACGATTGCTTGAAGCCCGTCACCGAGGGCATTAATCGCGCCTTCGGTGCCCGGGAGCCCTGGCAGGTGGCGACCATCACGGCCACCACAGTGCTCGGCGGCGTCTGGCTCTGGACGTTTGTGTGTCAGGATGAAAGTGAGTTTCCCCCTGACAGGTTTGCTCAACATACATCACTATCTACAAGTATAAGCTCGTAGGCAAAAGTCAGGCCACTTAGTGACTCTGTGGATTCCTTTTTTTACGCCGTTGTCGGCGTCGTCATAAATTTTAATCCATCAAACAATCTTATCTGTGACGGCGTGCACTTTCGTTCGCAACCCAAGTAAATGCCAAGCCTATATGGCCCATTTTTGTAGTTCGACTGAAGAAATCGAAATTGAAATCGTTAATTTCATATATGTACATTTGTATGTATGTACTTTGTGCCTTATATAAGTTCATTCGAGTGCCATGCATCCGTTGAATGCCCTCCGTGAACTTTTGCTTTTAATCTGTGTACAGATTACAAGAGATTAAAGCCAACATATTAATTTAGCCATTTGGCTACTTGAAATCGAAGCAAACATATACATACATATATAGCCAAACGGCATAGCTACTGGCTTCGATAAGGATAAACGCTAATACTTCTAAACTCGCCATTATAATGTTTCCAATGGCTTCCGTTATCAGCCTGGTGGCATAATCAAGGAGATTTCTAATTACTAATCCCCTAAATGGAAAACATTTCAAGACCGTTTCTCATCCGTTGACCAAAGCCACCCTTAAACTTGGTCAAAGTTCCTTTCCGTTCGGCACCTTTGCACCAGATACTCGTATGTATGTATATATGTATATATATTTAAACCAGACATGTCCGGCTTCCACGATATGCTATCGTGTTTCAGCGACTACCGATCGCCACATTCTCATTATAAAATGATTCATCATTTTATTTTACGGTTCGATACGCCTTCAGATAAGCATGCATTAGGTTATTCGATAGGGGACTATTGAAATTAGTCGGTCAGGCGATCATTTCGGAACCGCACTAACGAATCCTCCATCCCCTTGCTTGTTGCAGGTCTCTACATCCGTGGCAAGCGGCAGTTCTTTAGGTTTGCCAAGAAGATACCCGCAGTACGGCGACAGGTGGAGGCGGAGCTGACCAAGGCCAACAATGACTTTGAGTCGGCGATCAAGACGAGCAACGCGCACCTCACCTACACGGTGACACTGCCCGAGAAGGGTCTGAGCAATGAGGTGATCCTGAAGCTGGTGGACGACCATCTAAAGACTGGCCACTACGAGTGGCGCGAAGGTCGCGTCTCCGGTGCCGTCTACGGCTACAACCCGGAGCTGGTGCAGCTTGTTACGGAGGTGTATGGCAAGGCGTCGTACACGAATCCCCTCCATGCGGACCTCTTTCCGGGCGTCTGCAAAATGGAGGCTGAGGTGGTGCGCATGGCCTGCAATCTGTTCCATGGAAAGAACGACAGCTGCGGCACCATGACCACCGGCGGCACCGAGTCCATTGTGATGGCCATGAAGGCATACCGGGACTACGCCCGCGAATACAAGGGAATCACCAGGCCGAACATCGTTGTGCCGCGCACTGCGCACGCGGCCTTCGACAAGGGTGGCCAATACTTCAACATTCATGTGAGGTCCGTGGACGTCGATCCGAACACTTTTGAGGTCGACATGAAGAAGTTCAAGCGTGCCATCAATGGGAACACCATTCTGGTGAGGATTTACACACGATTCCCCCATGTATCTCCACTAATTGTAACCTTATTCCACTTCCTTTCAGCTGGTTGGCTCTGCTCCCAATTTCCCCTACGGCACCATCGACGACATTGAAGCCATCGCTGATCTGGGCATAAAGTACGACATTCCCGTCCATGTAGATGCCTGCCTGGGCAGCTTTGTGGTGGCCCTGGTCCGCAATGCCGGCTACAAGCTGCGTCCCTTTGACTTTGACGTCAAGGGCGTGACCAGCATCTCTGCCGACACCCACAAATACGGATTTGCTCCAAAGGGATCGTCGGTGATCCTCTACTCTGAGAAGAAGTTCAAGGATCATCAGTTCACAGTGACCACCGACTGGCCTGGCGGCGTCTACGGCTCGCCCACCGTGAATGGATCTCGTGCCGGCGGCATCATCGCCGCCTGCTGGGCTACCATGATGAGCTTCGGCTACGATGGCTATTTGGAGGCTACCAAGCGCATTGTGGATACGGCTCGCTACATTGAGAGGGGGTATGCATGGCTATGAATCCACTTGGACTACTGCTAACTGCATCGTTCCTCCACAGAGTTCGCGACATCGATGGCCTGTTTGTGTTTGGCAAGCCAGCCACTTCGGTCATTGCCCTCGGGTCGAATGTGTTTGATATTTTCCGGCTCTCGGACTCGCTCTGCAAGCTCGGCTGGAACCTGAATGCCCTGCAGTTCCCCTCTGGGTATGATAGATCTACGAAAACTTTATTAAAACATGCGTAACCTTTGGCATTCTGCCGCCCACAGGATCCACATCTGCGTCACGGACATGCACACCCAGGCCGGAGTGGCGGACAAATTCATTGCCGACGTGCGCAGCTGTACGGCGGAGATCATGAAGGATCCCGGCCAGCCCGTGGTCGGAAAGATGGCCCTGTACGGCATGGCCCAGAGCATACCCGACCGGTCGGTAATCGGCGAAGTGACGCGCCTCTTCCTGCACTCCATGTACTACACGCCCAGCCAGAAGTAGGCATCTGCCTTCGGCTACTCCTCCTACTGCTCCCACCCATGCAATCATTGCATCTGCAGTGCTGTTTTTAGCGAACCTCCTTGAACACCGTCTTATCCAAGCAATATTTACATAATTACGAGCATAAACCTACATTTAGTGCTGTAATCGAGGGTACAAAAAGTGTTGATTCTGTCTACGATATAATCCCACCAACTGGCGGGAATTCTATCCTCAAAGAGCTATTTTATTAAAGTGTTTGTTCTGTGTGAAGTGTTAGCGAAATATAAGTATGTCCGAGTATAGTACATTTTGTATACTCATCAGTCTATTAAGAATTTATCTCAACTCGCTCGACTCTTGATCAATTTGTGCCTTTTTCTGCGATTGTCGTGTACATTTTGTTCCCCAAACAATTAACTATACTCGTAATTGCTCCTACGTGGGCCCCAACCATTCCGGTCTGATCGGATCTGACCCGATCTGGTGCGATCTGTCAGACGCTTTGCCACGCGTCGGCGTTTTAATTTAGCTGTTCTCTCCATTCCGTTGCATGTGCCCACCTGACACGCCCATTTCCTTTGTGTAATTTATGCCCGGGATATGCTCGGGCCTTTTCAAATTGTTTCAAATAAATTTCAGTAGCGGAAACATTTATTTAAACGACTGCCAGCCAGAATCGCGGGGACACGCGTCAAATGTCATTTGACAAAGGAAATTTTGAAAAAAATTAAAAATAGCAAAAGCGAGCAACAAGTGTCATTGGGCGGAGGTGAAGATCAATTGGAGGCATCCATTTGGGGCTGCAACAAAGACAAAACCTGTCACATTAACAAGATGCCCACGCTAACCCCCCTGCGACCCCACCAATCCTCTATCTTCCCTGCAACTTGGGCACGCATTATGGGCCCCTACAGATTCGGCTCAAACCGGGTTGCCAAAAAACTTCGCTTGGCAGAGTGACGCAGCCACTAGACGGGCGACGGGCGACGCCGACGCACAGCTGAGCGAAGGCGGAGCAGAGAGCCGGGCAGAGAGAACCCAAAGGCCGCAGAGACGGGGCGGCTCATTCGTTGCGCGCTCGTTGAATCGCCGAGACGTCGTTGAAGTTGTCGTCGCGTGTGTGGAACAAACAAAATGAAATAATAAATATTTTTTTGAGAAAAAAAACCTGATTTTTTCTAAACAAAAAAATTGCATAAATAACAAAAATTTTAAAATTTAAACGCGCTAAAACTTGTTGAAGTAAAACTTTCCTCATTGTTGGGGTCCCAGCAGTTTATAGGAGGGGGAAGAGCCAAGTGGCGCCCAAAGGTTTATCCCACTTTTCCGTTCTACCTGTGTGAGTGCGAGTATCGTGCCGTGTCTGTGTGGGTGATTGTGATATGTTATATGATACTGTGAGAGTGTTTTAATCCATCTCCCTGAGGAGCTGCATTGACCGACAAAACATTGAGTAAAATTCAATTACTTAGAACGCCAGACCCTCTCTCAAAGGAATACTCGGAATACTACCCCAAGGTACGTTTCAAATTCAATTCCGATTGGAATTTGTTGATAAGTTAAATAGCTATATTAATAGCCAATTATTTAGTCACCATCATAGCCATGAATGGTTCATTAGCAGGCTTTTCTGTATCGATAAGGTAAACATACGTTACGCACACAGACAGACCTACCCAATGGAGAAGCAAACAAATACTCGTAGATCTACTAGAGGAAAGTAAACAGAATTTCAAACCACCAACCAAGTTTTAGTGCTACAAACTACTACTAGAAAGGTTTCGTAGGTGATGTATATTCTTATTTTAATGGAATATTAAATGGGATCTAAAAATACGAACCAGATATCTCTGTGGCTTCTGTTTATTATTTCTATTTATTTTTCTCACTTTCCATTCTCTATATTCCCATATATGTATGTAGTTATCATTGGTTGTTCTTTCTCTAGACTTATCTGAGTCTTGAATTTAAGTTATCATCCCAGAGAAGAATAAATATAGCGCAGATACTGGAAACGAAATATCAAATTAATGCGCAAAATATATATTTATCCAGCACTCATATAGAATATTCCCATTCCCAGACGCCCCTATCCCACGTTCGTATTATGTTTGCATCTTGATAGTCTCGGACAGGGCCCAGTGGAGAGATAAGGTTATCCGGTTGCTCAGTCGCCTCTCTTTTGATTTTTGCCTACAACTATGTATTTTATCTATCCGATAAGATATGGCCCAGGGACACACATATACATACATGTGCATATGTATGTATATATGTACATCATCTATATATCTGTGGAGTATATGGACTGGTTGATTCCCGTTTGGTCAAAGTTTGCATGCAAGGGTGCAATCCAATGGGTCCTTCCCCGCCGGATTATATGTGTTTGGTCAGATAAAAGGAGTAGGGAGCACACATGGCAACCCAATTGGATCCACATATGGGTGAGTTCGCTCCATGGCAACCTCTGCCCCAGCCGTGCACAACATGTCCACTCAAAGTTGTTTGCCGCACAAAAACAACGACCCACAGCAACAACAACAGCCCGGGGCAACCCCCCAGTGCCACAGGCCCACAGGATATTACATCCACCGCCGACTGGCCAGCTGGGTGCGGCTTTAATGTCTGGTCTGGCGTCATTATACCATTTATAGTCATGTTTTCCGAGAACTTTCGCTCCTCCCTTCAGGGTGTTTAATCGATAAACCCATTGAGCGGCGAGGAAACTCCTTTCGACCCGGAATTTCGCCATTTCATTGCCGGCTCTTCGTTCGCCATTTGTGTGCTAATTGCAGATCGAGGCTAAGTAACTGATTTGCTTATGGGAGCAAGAGATTGGGAGTCGATGTGGGGTGCGGGTGTTCACTGTACCCAAGCCAAATGGCTTGGACTCGTTAAGTTTGACGTTAATTAGCTTTTGGAATTTCGCGAAGCGACGCAGTTAAAAATGTGGGCAGCATGAGTTGGCATGGAATGTGGTTAGCCCTGCTAGAGACGACAAATTGAGAGTTTTTCCAAATTGTAATTTGTTTCAAATTAAAGGATGATCAAAATGCTAAAATACAAAGAGGAAATCGATCCTTAAATATCTTCAACGCCTAAATAAGTTATTCAAAATCGCATTTTTATTTAATTTTTCAGTTTCAATCTCTGGCAGTGCCAGCAATAAATACCAATCAAGCAATCATCAGTTTTTCTTTTACTTTAGTTTCCTCAGATTTTGGATAGCAAAAACTAAGCAAAAAAAAAACGCAACATATTTCACAGTTGGTAAATATTTTCCATGCATATTTGCAACGCTCCAAAAAGCCCAATAAGCGGCAATCACAAGAGGCAGCCGGCAAATGCTTTTCTATTGCTTTCAGCAAGCGATTTGCATAAGGCTACAGATATTTAACTACTAAGTAGGGGATATATGTACATATGTATAGGTAGAGCTGCAATTAACATCGAACACGGGCCCGTGTACAGACAAATACTTATTGACAGAGTCGCGTCGTCCGTTCTCTCATTTGAAATGGAGATCCGGCGAACGGAACAGAACACGCCTCTGAAAGTGTTTTTCGTTTCGTTTCAAGATTCTGTGTAACCTTCGCACGAATCGACTCGACTCTCGAGTCTCCAGTCTGATGAGAGTGACGTGCTGACGAGTTCTAAGCAAACCCCATGCGACTGTACGGGACGGGGCTTAGATGATTACCCAATGACATCAGCACGGGGAACAAAGCAGAGTCTCCAAAGTGTGACTTCAACCTGTTCGAGTAGGGGTACGGGTTCTGGTTCGGGTTCGGCTAAGGGTCTAGATATGCTAGCAGCTAGCTAGCTGCTCTTTATGGCTTTCTTCTTGAACGGATCCAGCGAAAGCCTGTTGCCTCAATTATAATACATATATGTATACCCATAATGATACCTCCCCCCCATGATGTTGATGATGATGTAACAGGTGGGAATTGTGGTTAATCGGTTTCTGTGGCACTGTGAGTGGATCATGTTCGCGTTAATTGTGCGGTTGGTAATATGCTGACAAATTGCTCGACAATGCAATGAAAAACAACTTTAATTGATTCGATTGAAAGTCAATGTTCACATTGATTGGTTAACACAATTAGGAATATCTACCATTCCAGCAGTATGTTAAGTAAACTCATTCTTAGCACCACTCAGGCAATGTAAATGTTTGCCCTCGAATACCCTTTATTTGTGGACACAGTCGATCCTATTTCTAATCAGTAAAAGCAGATAAACAAAAACAGACATGAACATGTGCTCGTACATGATATTTTGGATACCTTATCGCATGGGCTACTTATCTGCTTATCCATGAAATTAGATCTTGTAAGCCGACACCTCGTACAGTGGGACTCCCACGTGACCGACCTTCGCCAGTAACAAGCGACAAGACAATGTCCACTCCACTGCACTTATGTATTTTCCCCCTCTCTCTGGCTCTGGCTCTGGCATCTGTTACTGGGCCAAACCGAAAGTGATGCGGAATGCCCATGTGTGGCATGTGCAACGCAGCCGTTGCATTTGAAGGTGAGCTTGTCCAATTGGAACGACGACGACGACAGCGACAACAGTCGGCACTTGTTGGGCCCGAGACTTGAAGGCAGACAGCTGTCACAAGCTCTTTGGGGGTACCCAGCTCCAAGTGGGCTTTTGTTTACATCGGCTCTGGTTCAATGCTCTGTGGCAAAAAGTGGGCTCAGCATTTGTGCCACATTTCAGTTCCATGTTCTGTTCTCCCATCTCCATCTCCCTGTGACATCCATTAGTCGTGAGCTTGCAACGCTTGAAGCCAAGCTTAAAGCTTGAGCATTGGACGTGGGAGTCGCATATTTGATTTGAATTTCGAAATGAAGAAATATCAAGATACGGTTCGTCAGCGTCTCGGTATGCCTCGAGTGGGTGGTATGCCCCATGATGATGTTGCTCCAAGAAAACGATGAGATGAGATATTCATAAACAAAATAAATTAGCTAAATAAGGAAACCCGTTTGAAGTGGAAGATTTGGTGGGCATGACTTTTAGTATTGTAATAAAGTTATTTTCCCCTCCCCCCGCCAAGCCACACTCATATTATGCACAATCAGGAAACTCAATTGTATTTATCATGACTGGTACGGGGAGATTCAGAGCACGTCCTCAAACAGCAGCCCTATCCCAATATGGGCCGCACATTTATGACTGTTCCGAAAACCACTTCATATGCATACAACAGAATATTTGGACTGGACTTGTGAGGGTGCGGCGGGGAGCCTAGGAAAACCTTTCAGCTCGAATTATGCACAATAATCTTACATAAATTTAGGTATTATCTGTGCGTAGACCCCAAAGGAAACCAGTAAATTGTTGGAGTGGCATAAATTAACTCTGAGCCGGCAACATGTGAAAATTGAAACGGGTTTATCGCTTCAAGTGAACACAAAACACAATTTACATTACCCAACAGCAGCAGCAGCAACAATAAAAACTTGTTCTATATAACATATGGCGTCTGGTTTATCTACGACTTTCTGAACACAACTAAAGATTTATCGATTGCGTTGTAGCCCAACATAGATATTGTCAGGCGTGTTATTAGATTAGCCTATCCTATAGATACTCGTATGTACATATGTACATGGTGACATCTTCATGGCTTAGAACATTTTCTACTTGGTCAAGTGTGGGTAGATCATTACAGATGAATGCTTGGCCTTCAGTTCGATCTAATAATGGGCTTGGCCCTGACCTTTCCCATACAGATTTTCATTGCAGCAATTAATTCCAATTCATTGAATACTTCCATGGCTCAGAGGCTGACCAAAAAAAAAAAATATATAATTAGAACCACCCGCTCACCCAGAAAAAAAGATTACATCTCTCAAAAACTGAGCGAAGCGAAGCTGGGGATTGTGACAGAGATACAGATACAAATACTATGCAGAGGGTAATACTCACTCACACACATAAAAGATCTTCAATTGCTTTTAATGCTGATGTTGAGTTCACTTTCATTTCGCAATTAAGAGAAAATTCTCCGGCTCGTTCAACGGAGAGGAGCTCAGTCTCGTTTCGACTGCGCCACAAACGGGAGGAATCAAGGCGAAGTTTAGCGTCTGAAACGAATAGAAAACGGTAATTAATTGGCTTATTAGGGAAATGTGTCTACAAAAAAGAACGCAACAAATTTAATCATCCTCGCCAGCAACCCTACAGGCTTGTCGTTCTCATTGTCCGTTTTGGGGGATTGCGTGAGGCGAGCCCCAAACGCTGTAAGACTCATGAAATCGGTATCTAAGTTTAGACGATTTCATCATATTCTGCTTTTGCGTATTCACTGGATACAGATACAGATACACGCTTCTGCAGCGGTTGTCTGACGCTTGCTGTAGCCTGTTGTTGGCTTTTGCAAATTAGCTAATATGCGCTTAGCCCCATTGGTGAGTGTTTATTTGGTATTTGGTGTTTGGCTTGGCGCAGCGCAATCCATCTCTCTGGCTGTTGGATGGCTCTTCAGGTTTAGTGACTGCTGAAATGTTTCGCTACTATAAAAAAACGGGAGAAGAGAAGAAAGATGTAGCTTTGGGCGCTGAAGCCTTGGATATGATATCATACATCACATACCCTCTGAGAGGGTATACAAAAATATCTCGCTCTGCACTGACAGCTCGATTAAAATTCATATCTCACGCTCTGACCTTTTACAGATCCATACGACAACGAACTCAGCGCGGACAAAGGAGGAGGAGGAGGAAAAGGTGTAGCCGACAGTGGAGGTGGGCAGCAGGAGGAGTAGGCGGCGCAGTGGAGGGAACGGGACACAACTCGACTCCAATTGCAAGTCGCGGCAATCGCAGACCTCAAATTATATGCCAGCCGCAGCATTTCCATAAGATTTTGGTGGAAACTGGCTGTGAACAAAGCGAATTTCAAATGTGAACCAATCACAAAAAAATACAGCAAAAATCACCAAAAAAAAAATAGCGTGCAAGAAAACAAAAATAAATTGTGAAAAGAAACAAGGCAAAAAAGTATTTCCAAATTTTTTGAAAGTGCAGTGAAAACGAAAGATGATTAATTGGCAATGAAGCAAAATCGTTAATGAATATAAATTAAAACACCGAAAAAATATATTCAACAAAAACGCGATAAAACATCTTGCATGTTGGAAGAAAGAGAGTTTGGCGCGCTTTTAAACGCCGGCGAATAAAGACGCGCTCGCGTTTTACTTACAAAAAAAAGCGGAAGAGAGGTAACAAACAATTAAAAGCGAGTTCATTGCATAAATTTAGCAAGTGTGCGTCGTGTGTGTGTGTGTGTTTGTGTCCAGGTGTCTAGTCTATGTGAAAATGGCAGCTTCGGAGCAGAGCAGCAGGCGGCAGCTGGAGGCGATTTTTATCGCCACACCCCCATCAACCCCCCTGATGCAACACAACTCGGTGACGCGGACAACTACACCTCGCGAACTCCCCACAATGTATCACTTTGATTTCGGTAAGCGACAACAACAAAAAAAACCCGAAACAAAAGCTAGCTTATAACTGTACTTGTGTGGGTACTCTCAGATCGTGTGAATACTCGTATAAGGTGAGGCATTACCAGAGAGCGCTCTCTTCGTAGCATTTTCGTTCAGGTGTATAAGATCCAGGGAGAGAGAGAGAGAGAGAGAAAGAAGGAGTAATGAGAATGCCTCACCGTATATTAACACACCTCTTGTACCCTTTAGCCTTAAGTGCTTGTCGAACTCTGCAATTTTCGAATTTCGAGTTTCGAACCCAAAGCCATAGCGGCAAAAATTCAAATTGACTATTCAACTTCCGCGCAGGCGCATTAAGCGCTGCCGCAGGGGCAGCTCTTCGGTGTTGAAGGAAGTGCTTGGGAAGCCACTTAAGGGGAAATGAAGTGGGAGCAGAGTGTGCGGGAGAAGTGAAAAACAATGAATTTGTTTTATGGCACTTTAACAACTAAAAACGAAATTTTAACAGAATGGGAAATAGGAATTTCAAAAATAAATTCAAATTTTATGGCTGTTTTTTAATTGAAAACCACTTGAATGAAGAGGATAAAGGAAACATGAAAATGTCAAACCAAAATGAGGTTTAGATGTAGGTACATATGTACATATGTATTCATAATTGTTCACGCTTTCCGCTATTATAAAATATATTTTTAAGCAAACTTTCTATCGTTTAAAATCTGCAGATGACATCAGTTATTATTGCAAATTATTTGCTGATTGCAAAAAAAAAAAAGAAGCAACAAAGGCAAGACATACAAAAAAGCTCAAAACCAAATTAAACACAAAAACGTGGAAGGCATTTCAACAAACTGAAAATGAATACAAACACAACTCAAACAAAAAAAAAAATAAAAAAAAGAAGCCAAGCAACGGACAAGAGGCACGACACTGACATATCTATGTCAATTTCCATTTTCGGTCAGCTGCAGCAAAGTCAACTAAATTAAATCAATTTTAATTAAATTAAAGAAAAGCCCAAAGCAAGAACTTCAGCTAAAATTTTGGGCAAAAATTCAGCAATTCAAGAAGTCAGCAATGCGACTGAACAAAGACAAAGCAGAATTAAATGGAATTCAAGCTGCAATTGAAACAAAAAATTAAAAAAGTAATAAAACTGGGCTCGACTTAGATCCCATCCCATACATATTTATATGACAGATAAAAAAATATATATATGTGCTCGCAGCTTGACAGAAATCGGGCGTTCCGTCTTAGCCATGTTAGTCACGTCGGACTGGGAGATATGCGTGCCAGTTTTTACAAGTTTCCGATAATGCTAATAAATAATAAATACTCGTTCTCGTACTCGTACGAGCAAAAACTGCGAGCATTCCGTTGCCAGTCTCTGAGCTGCCTGGTTGGTTGACTGACTGATTTAGATTGTAATGGCCCATCTGCATATATGGCCTAAATGGTGTCCAGTTGAGGGCGCATATGACCCACATTCCTCGGCTTAATGTGCGAGGCAGCCCACACTTGAGTTTCCTATCTTTCTGCCTCTCTGTCTGCCATGGAATTTCCTTGACATTGAACCACATTTAGAGGCAAATCAAAGCTCGAATAAAATGCTTATTTAATAGAATGAATTCCAAAGTCAAATACCCAACCAGTTTTGTGCAAAACGCAATTTATATATACTCGTATATATATAGAGGTATGACATTGTCCGGCACGAAACCAGTTTTCAAAACATTTAATGTGTTCCATCCTAAATTGCAAAGTCACTCTCCTGTTTGGGATGAGTTCTTCGATCAGGAAATTTGTCATTGATGGTTGATGGCTGTTTCCCAATTGTATGTTGAATTAAAGTACGAATTTACAAGTAAAATTCGCGAATTTATTTGCCTTTCAGCGAGCTAACGGCTAAAAAGCTAACAGACATAAAGCTTTGGCTTGAGCTTTGCAACTTGAGCTTTTTTGGGTTGAAAAAACTACTAATACGTTGTAAGTTGTTAGATATCTGTATGTACATTGATTTTAAACGATTTATTTAAATAAACAAAAAATGAAAACTTAAAATTTGCCGCACTTCAGGTCTACCAATCCTCAATTTCCTTATTTTATTTGGAAAGAAATAAAGTAAGTTTGTAGTTTTTCAATAAATGCACTCAAGAAATGTGTTTTAATTGGTTTCAAGCTCCAATAAATGATCTAATTCAATTTCGTTCAACATTCAATTGGTTGTGGGCCAACTCACAAATCGATTCGCTAATCGTTTGGCTTCACTTCTGACCCCAAATCGAGCCTCGAACCTACTCCGAATCCAATTGGAAATTACCTACCTCAATTAACGACACCATTCTCCTCGCACTGTGGCCACCCCGAGAAAATGCCAAATGAAAGACACTGAGGAACGGAAGGCACCCGCAAAATGGAATCGGAGCCAAATACAAAAAGTGTTTCACACTTTCTAAAAAAAAACAATCAACAGAAGAAACAGCAGCAACAGCAGCAACACTAGCAACAGCAAACAACAAACAAATCAACTTCAATTTGTTGCAACAACAGCAGCAACAACATCGATCTGATTGAGTTCCAAACAGAACCGAAGACAGAAATGAAAAACGAATACAGAACCACTGAAATTGTGCAATCTGCAAAATGCGTTCGAAGGAAACAAACAACAAAATCAACAAAACACAGAATTTGTTACAGGGGAGCGCCAATGAACTGAAATGATTTCATTACAGCAAAGGAGGGAGCGATGAATGGCAGTGGAGTGGTGTGGAGACGACTGACGACTAGAAGAAATAGAACTTAATTAGTAGAAAATACGACGCACCGATGTTTGTTGATACGTGAAGATAGAGAGAGAGAGAGAGGGAGGGAGGGAGAGAGAGATGATGGGGAGAAGCTTTAGCGAGGGGCCATCTAAATGTCATTCTGAACTCTGATTCGATACTGATACACTAGCGCAATATATTTAGAAGCAATATATTCCATCATTAGGAAGGAAGTTCTCTCGATGGAATAAGAGAAATGGAAACTTTTAGAGTTCACCTGAGTTCGGGATAGATTAGGTAATGGTATCTGTAAATAAAATAAACTACAGAGTTCAAGGAACAAAGGGAATCTTTAATTATTATGCTTTTCAGTGCACTATCATAAATAATAATGAATGTTTCTCTTCATTTAACCCAATAATTTCTTTCAGTGCATAGGAAATATTAAATTTTAAGTTCACTTTTTGTTGTTGTTGGATTTTTGCCTTGTTTTTGTGCTTGTGTCATGTCGCCGCCTTGCCCCCAAAACGCCATCCATACAACACATCATCTAGCCGCCCCCCAATAGCACGGGCCCCTTTTTTTTTCTCCGAGGGCCGCTGCCCTGAAACGCCCATAAAAATCATCTAGATTCGAGAACTTGACATTATAGGTACGCGCCCCTTTCTCCGGCGTGCCGTAAAGCGTGAAAATCGGTGGATAGGCATATGTATATATGTATGTATCTTCATATATGCAACTGCAACATATCTTCTATTTTCGGCTGTGCTCTCAGAGCGTGACAATTATAAGAGATTATCAGGATGTTGAGGGCAAGTCAGAGTCGAGACGCGTGGGCGACCACAAACGATGCCGCCCACAACCCCGGGGCGCCTCCTCCCCACTCACCTTATACCCCGCGTCCCCTGCCCCGCCAGAGCAGGATAAGTTGTTGGTTCGATAAAATAGATATAAATAAACGAGTATGTCCCGGCCCCAAGTTCATTACTCCCTCCCCCATGACTCTCGCTTTTGGCACGTGCAATATTGCTTGTTTTTCAGTCTTTTTCTGTGGAATCCCTGCATTCGGGGGCATCTTGCATAAGAGAGATCGATGGATGGATGGATGGATGGGTGACGTCATCTGTATTCGGAGTCTGAACGGATGCTGCTCGCTATTGTGATTTATAGCAGCGACAAATGGGGATCGTATGGTCCGACCAGAAAAGATCGCTCCTCAAAAGTGCATTCGCATTTCAATTAAAGACAGAAGCACAGCCACACAGCAAGAGACGTAAAACAAGCAGACAAAAGATACTCAGAAAAGCAGAGAAGAATCAATGGAGAAAAACGAATATCGAATACACTGAAAAATAGAGAGAGAGAGAGGTCAAAAAGTTCAGTAAATCCAAAGTTTACTTCTGGTCAAAGGAATTTCCAGCGACTGATAGTGACTACATCTTCCATATCTATCTGTGGCAAACTTAATGCGTTATCTAATAGACTCTCTAAAGAGTTCTCCCCTCATTAATTCAGCCAAATGTGTCTCCACCAACTCCCCCTGCCAGCTGTTTATTTATGTGAACCGCCTGCAACACCAAATGTTGCTGAGGTCGCCAAATGTTGCTGCTGCCGTTGTCGCATGCAACTCCGATGGCGGCTACCTTTTTTGGCGCACTTATGCAACAGGCTAGTAAGTTGATGTTTCTTTTGGAGTGCCATAAGTGGACATAATTACATACTGTACATACATATGTGTGGGCTACACCCAGTACCAGTCGTGGACCCAATTCCCACTGGCCAGGAAACGATCCACTTTGAAGTCTCTTTAGGCTGATTGACTGATGGCCCAAAAGGAAGTCGCACCAAAGACTGCATCAATTTAGAAATTTGAATACATTGAAATGGGGGGGAGGGAGAATGGGTAGTCATTCTGCCCGACTTCAGAGTGCAATGAATGACGGTCTAAGCAGCCCAGGGTTCAGCCACATTTGACGAGGGAACGGACGGGACGGCAGTGTCGGCGGCTTTAAATAAATCAGCCGTAAAGACAAGACAAACAAGAAAGGAAGTCTACAGTCGAATGATGAAGCTGTTGATACTCTTACCGATACTCTTCAATGTCAGCTAGAGGATATATTTATCCCAATCCTTGTGGCTCCGATTGTAGCAAATTAAAAGAGTAACGATTGCAATGCGCATCTGATTGATCAAGATATATGTACTATCGTTTACGATTCCGTTCCTTTGTGGCAAATATCTGCTTAAAATCATAATACCCTCTGCAACCGAATACCAAGAGAAGGGGAAACAGACAACCCAGAGCAGAAATGGAGGGAATAAGTTGGAAAAGAATGGTGGCCTTTGTTGCTGGTGGCAGCTACACCCACACCAACACCCACCCACCCACACCGTAGCCAAAGCCAAAACTGGAGTGCAACTATTTTTAATTCCATGCAAAATGTGCACCGGCAACATGTTGCCGCTACGTCTCACAGTGGAGCCTTAGCTGAAATCATGTGAAATATTTATGATAAATAATTTTTCAAAGATTTCAAAAATTAAGTTTAGTTAAAAACTTGATTAACTGGACAACAATTTACCAAGTTAACTATGTAATGTATGGTTATCTTTGCCCCACTGTGCGTGCTGCTTGTTGCTGGCGAGAGCTTAATGTTGCTGGCGGGCTGGCGGCGATGTTGCTGCCGCTCAAAATTGAACCAGACGCCGGCGCAAGAAGAAGTCCCATTGGAAAGAGCGGAACGGTGCGCAGCGCGGAATATGTGAAATGTGTTTAAAAATAACGAAATATCGGGATAGTGAATAATCATCAGGGAAGCGCGTACCCCCAATTTTGAGCAAGATGAGCAAGAAAATGTGGAACAAGATATTCAAATCAAAGTCACAGAAGCCTCAGCCACTGGCCAAAATCAATAAGCGGCACAGTAGGGGCATCTACGAGGAGTACCAGCAACTCAACGATTTGCTGGCCAGCGAAAAAACTCAGCTAAATTTCTGCAATCAAAGGGAAAACGAAAATGGAAATGGAAATGGCTGTGGAAATGGAAATGGATATGGCAGCAGCATTAACGTATTTGAACAGCAGCCGCAGCAGAGTTCTTTCAACTCGTTGCAGCTTAGTGAGGCGCAACAATCATTGCCGCAACAGCATCAGCAGCGGCAGCAGCAACAGCAGCAACAGCAGCAGCCGCAGCAACAGCTGTCCACATTTTCGCGCGTTCGCAACACATTTTCCCTCAAACGCAACAGCAACAACAGCAGCAGCAGCAATAAAGGCCAGAAAAATCTGCCCAATGCCAAGTCAAGTGAGTCGGACCCACCTCCAGGTGTGGGCGCAGAACCTGCAACAACAACAGCAGCAGCAGCAGCAACATCAACTAACAATAACAATCAACTGCAACGCATTCTGATTGTTGTCAATAAGATCGATGTGTTGTCCACTAACCAACCAACTAACAATCATTTGCATGCCAAACCATCAGAAACAGCATCAGCAACAGCCCCAGCAATTAAACCAAGTAATTTTCAATGCAAATTAACAACTAATATCTGCTAAATGAACCGTTTTAGTTTCTACAAAATTGGCCAAGTGAAAGCGTTAAATGTAGGGGGGGAGAAATGTACATAAATGCTAACACAGCTGCTTAATCTGCTTTGAAAAATCCAATGCCAAGTCGACCTTTTCATTGACTCCTCTTCATGTATTCTTATCAATTCCGAATGATGTCACCTCTCGTTTGTTCGAATACTGTTCGAATAATGAAAGCGAAATTGAAAATCTTAGAACAAAGAGAGAACGGGAAGGGGTTCCCAGCTTAGCCATTCTTTTGGTTCCCACTGTTTTGGTTCATGGGAAGCATCCCCAAGTGTCAAACAGTTGCAAGTTCAAAGTGTGGCCAAGAACTGGAATGGGAAAAACCGTTTGTATTATGCTTTACCATATTGCACATCAGACAACAACACATTTATGGGCCCACTGAAGTCTTAAGTGGCTTATGGAGCTTGCCCAATAGCGGACCGGCCGACAACAGAAGCAACAAAAACACCATTCAGACTATGGAAAATGCTTGGGACCGACTAGACATGGAACTAGTGGATGGAATGGAATGGGGATGGGGAATGGAATCGTTTGATTGTGAAAGAAGGGAAATGGATATATGTATGTAGTCGATTGAAAATTGCATTCATCACTCAGTTGTAGGGCTTTCAACTTTTGATCTAGTAAACTCTTGACCATCTGAAAATCACTTGGCCACTCTGCATGCAGCCAGATCTGCTCAGGCTCCCATTGGACAGGGATGCTGTTATTACTTATTATAGATCTCAAGTGGGAAGCGTATGTACATATCTGTCTATGCATATGCATATATGCATAATGCAGCAGTGCATTTGATTCTGTTGCATTCTGTGAGCATCATCAGCACCGACACGGGCCAGATCAGTCGTGTGCAACGGCTCTTGCTGGTGCCCAACCATTCACCCACTTCTCATTGACTTGGCTTGGTTAGGGAAAAGAATGCGTAACATACAACTTTGCATTGATTTGAATTGAAATGAGAGATGCGAAGCTGTCCCAGCGAAGGGGCGAGGGTCCCAAGATGTTGCGGAAATTACTGGCTCTTCTTGTCTCATGCGTGCCGTTGATTGATGTAATCTTTGCTGGCAGCCAGTCTCGGTCGTGGGTGCTCCGCTGGCCTCGCATTGTAATTGGATTGCCGCTGTCTACCAGTGGCTGCCATCATTGATGGTCTTTTTTGCTTACCCCCATAATATGATGTTGGCATACTGTTTCTAATTATTATTCTTTAATGCCCACACACGAACACTTGTACTTATTTCACAATTACAACTTAATTATGGCGGAATTAGCGGGAAGGACTGCAAGCCGTTTCCCAACACTCAGCAGTTATCGATCACGATAACTCCACGCACAACCGCAAAAATAAAAACAAAAACAAATAGCAGCTTCCTAAAGAAAATGGACAAAAGAACAAAGTGCCAAAGTGCGCATTCGTGGGCAGACGGACCACATCGAAGCCACCTGCCATCCGATGGATGCTCGCAGTTGGCTTCATCGAGCTCCGATCCACGCCCACAGCACCGCACACGGAATGTAATCAAATAAGCGCACTCTTTGTTGGGGACCAGTTGCCAAATTTGGCCAGGGCAACTTCTCATCAGAAGATAAATAACAATTTATAGGCTGATCACACACGCCAAAAGCGAACCAAATAATAACTATAAATTATTTTGGCGATTGCTATTGTCTTCTCTTTGGGAGACAGACAGACAGACAGACAACGCTGACAAATGGCCCGGGAAAGGCAATTTGTCGCCCAAAAACAAAAACAACAATCCACAATGACGCTGATTTTCACCCACTTGGCGGCGAGCCATTTCCACTGTGGAAAGTTAGTTGGGTTGGCATTTCCCTAGTGAACTTTCCCTTCTTTGGGCACGGGACCAAACAGTTCAGAATTTTAAATGAAGCGATTTTAAGTATGTTGTTTTGTTGTTGCTGAAATACATTTACTTTTATTTTGTAGGCTGTAAAACAGCAACTACAAAACATTGTCAAAGTGCTCGCAGAAACATAACCCAAAACGAATTTCCATACTGATCCCCAACATTATCTACTTGCATATTAATCGCAGCCGCATTCAACACGGAGAACGAGTTGGAAGCGCCTGGAGGCGGGCAGGAGGAGGAGCCCTCTTCGCCACCACCGCCCCCGCTCACCAGTGGACTGCTGTTGCCCGTGCCCGAGATAGTGGCCATCAGCGCCAGCGATCTGACGCCCTGTCCGTGCTGCAGTCGCACCTTCAACTTGAACGCTCTGCGGAAGCACGTCGTCATCTGCGAGAAGACCTCAAAGAAGCGCAACATCTTTGACTCATCGCGACAGCGTCGCGAGGGCACAGTGCTCTCCACGTACGTCCTACCCAAAAACTTTGGCCTGCCCAATGCCGACAAGGTGTCCGGAGTTCACACCCCGCTCGCTGGGAGTCGTGATGCCGTAGGCACGGGCCCCACAATGCCAACAGACGTAAGACGTCCATCTGCCAATCAATCAAGCTATCGCTTAACTGTCTCTCTTTCCCTCCTGCTGCATTTCTCCAGAGTGTGGGCTCTCCTCTGCCCACTCGTCGCAAGTCCCAAACCGAGCTGGTTCGCTCTACGGCCCGAGCTTCCGTCCGTAGAGCGGGCGGCACAGCAACAGGAACAACAGCTGCTGAAACATCACCAGCAGGCGAGCCAAGCAGTGTACCAGTCCGCGATCGCTCGCTGGCCAAGCGCATAAAGAGTGTGGCCTCCGAGCACTGTCCCCACTGCGAGCGCAACTTCAACGTGAAGGCCTTCGACCGGCATGTGGAGTGGTGCAAGGAGAAGGCCATCCAAGCCACCATAAAGCTGACCAACCCCCAGGAGACGTCCAAGGCGAAGGAACGGCTCGACGCCAGGAAGCAGTACAGGCCGCCTAATCTCAAGTAAGCCTGGAGTTCTTGGGAGTTCTCAGACAGTCAGTTCAGTCACACACTTGCCACACACCCAGACACAATTTATTACATTCCAATTATTTTGCTCATTTTTTCTGTTTGCCGTTTCCATTTAATCGCAATGAATAATTGTAGGACCAAGCGCTCGATCAACCGCAGCAAGTACTCCGGCAACCACGAGGATCTGCTGGACGCCGGTGACATGACGGCACCCAAGCAGAACCTGATGTCGCTCTCCTCCATGACCTCGTCCGTGCACAGTGATAAGTGAGTACCAAGGGATAGATATATATAGATACTACAGACTAGAGACTAGAGTTACACCCTAACCCAATCGCTCCTCTGGCGTTGCTTTGGTTGTCGTTGACTAATCCCCCGTATCCCCACCAGTATCCGTAATCATTCACACACATCGTATTGTAGTGCGCCTCACCGTAGCTAGAGCATATATCCATCAGCCATATCCACTCATCCTCATCCCACTCAGCCCAACGCAAGTAAAGAAGCTGGCACGCCCCCAGCCACGGTACGTCGCGCCCGCAGGCCGCAGCAAACCCGCGGCAACCAGCACAAAGGTCACGCAGAACACGGTAAACTTGCACGTGACCCACGACGTGGATCCAACAGTAGCAGCAGCAGCACCACCAGCGCCAGGACCAGCTCCGCCAAAGGAGCGCGCCCTGCGATCAAAGCGCAAGCCTATCGAGACTTGTGACCGCATCAACGAAACCATGGATCGCTTGCGACATAATGCTAGCGGCGCCACCCTCCAGCTGGACTGTGTGGAGGCGACACCACTGCAGCCAGCCGCCAAGCAACGCAAAGGGATAACCAATCGCGAAAGGGTCGATGCTGCCGAGAAGGAAATGTCGTTGCCACCGCTGAAATTCGAGGATCTCAATAGGTTGATCAAGCAAAAAGGTATGGGTTGGTTTCTATCACCAGATGTAGGGATACACCAGTAATATCTAGCATAGGGTTCCATTGACCGTAGCGTGCAGTTGCCCAATTAACTTGGGATACTTGTCAGATCTAAGAGGCCGGAACCTACCTGTTCATGGTCCGTAATTAATGCGCGCCGCCGCCGCCTCAAAAGCATTCCAAAATGATCAGCGATGCATTAAGCTCCATAAGTGGCTGTCCAGGTGCAGCTATGGTATCCAATGGATAGGTTCTTACAGGCAGAAGTGAAGGGTAACGCGCGAGTCTCGAGATAGAAATAGAACAAAACAGAACAGAACAGACTCAGAGCACGAAGTACAGTTGTTGAGTTAGACTGGAGAGCATAGAATCTTTGATCGAACCATAAGCTAATCGAAGCTAATCAACCTCCCATCCGCCACCCCCACGCTGCCCAACCCAGGCGGCCGTAAGCCCATCGTAAAATCAACAAAATTGGAGGAACCCCCACCGGAGGTACCGGCAGTACCGGAAGAACCGGAGATGGTGAAAGTGACGTCCAAGGTGCGTTCCTCCACATCGCTGGTGCGGCAGGCGCGTCGTCGCATCCGCACACGTGAGCATCCCAGCCTGGAGCTGCGCAACTTGGAGCAGGAACTGGTCCCATCCCCGTTCCCGTCACCAACATCGCAGCAGAAGACCGTTGATGAAATGGACCGCGCTCTGGTGCCCCTGACTCGGAGGCCGCATGTACTCTATTCCGATTACGAAGATGAGGACGATTCGCCGCGAGCCGAGATCCAAATCAAAATGGAAACGACCACCACGCGAACTGTTTGTCGGCCCAAGAAGCGCAGTGAGCAGGCCAGCAGCTCGATGCCCCTGCGGGCCCTGCCCATGCCCCAGCTGAAGCAGAGCCTGGAGGCCCTCGGCCACACCATGGGGCACACCACGCTGCCCCGACTGCAGCTGAGCAGCGATCGGCTGCAGTTTGAACGCGATATCATTAACATGGACAACGAGTCGAGCGAGCTGGAATGGAGCGAGGAAAACATGATGAGGGGCTCCGCGCAGATGCTCGAACGCGTGTCCAGTCCGCATGTCGAGGACAGCGACGTAGAAGCGGAAATGGAAATGGAGCAGCGGCCAATCACGAAGCTGCCGCTCCTGGCCAAGCAGGGCGGCACTGTCAGTCGCCGCCTGGTGATGCTCGAGCAGGACGAGAATGGCACCATGTACATCAAGGAGCCGCCCACCAGCCACAACAGCCACTCGCATCCCAGTTCCCACTTCGGCGGCGGTACCTTCAGGAGGTTTGTAGCCCAACTAATCTCATATCATCCTCCTACTCCTGCCCCCGCTCCTAACCCCAGACGACAGCCAGACGATGCACAGACGGGCGGGTTACCATTAGAACTTTACCAAAGAATTTTTCTACCATTTTGCGCTCTTTCTCTCACTTTCTCTCACTCCTGCATAGCGGCCTCAGTGGAGTTAGCGTCAGCAGCGATAAGTACGATCCCTTCCTCTCGGCCAGGCGTCAGCTGGAGGAGCTGTGCACCCCCGGCACGCCGCCGGAGGAGGTTCCCCCAACAGCCCCACCCAGCATCTCCATGACCAGTTCGTTGACCATGCCGAGCAGCAGGGCAGCGCCGACCACACCGAAACCCACACCTGCCTCCAACTTTCGGCGCACCTCATCCCTGCGAGGCCCCCGGCGGACACCGCTGCTGCCCAGTCGTCCCCTGTTTGCGACCAACTATCGCCCCACCATCCAGCGGGGACTCTCTGACGAGGGCCCCATCTCCACGAACTTCCTCAAGCCGGAGGAGTACGACGAGATGCCGGTACGCGCCGCCTGCGGCAACGACTTCCACAGTCCGCGAGTGGTGCGCCGCGATACGAGTACGTCGAACCGCAAGCAGTTGCTGAAGCTACCGCTGGGCGTTGGCGCTGCCAGCGAGAAAACAGCTCAGGCACAGCCAGGCCGCAACGTGGCCAAGACCGACTCCCTGGCGGTGTTCCTCAATTACGAGCACGAGCTGGAGCAGCTGAATGCCAAGGCAGCGGAGGTGGCAGCCGCCAATCAGCTGACCAGCAAGGAGCTGAAGGACAAGAGCAACAATCTGAGCAAGCAGAACTCCGCCAAGAGTCTGACCGCCACGTCCACCAATCCCGGCCAGCTGCCGCCCCTGACCCCGTCAACGCTGACACCATCGTCTGCACCAGCCACAGCCCCAACGCCAGCGCCAGCTGCCGTCTCGGCCAAGGAGAACAACGAGAAGCGGATGCACAACAACTACCAGCCCATTGCCACACCCTTGCGGCTGGAGCCCATCAGCAGACCAGCGACGGCGATGCCAGCAGTCCAGCAGCCAGTCAGCGTGGGGGTGACCAGCCTTACACCCATCAAGCTGGAGAGTATCTTCGGCTTTGGCCGTCCGGCCGCAGTGGGCGGGGGAGAGTTCATCGACCCCAAGCTGATCAATGCATGCGACAATCTGCACGTGTCCAGCGGGGTACCGTCGGATGCCAGCTCCACGCCACAGCAGCTGTCGCAGAGCCGCAGTCGGAGCAGCTCCCAGTCCACCATCACGTACGAGCGGCGACAGTCGGGCGAGGCGAGGAATCTGCTGAAGCGCAAGATGCGTTTGGGGCGCAATCAGTTTCTGTACGATGCCTCGCCGGAGGATGCGGATGCCTCGTCGGGGTGCTCCGCCGACGATGAGGCCAATCGATCATCGATGGAGTACGACGAACAGTGCTGGCAGCAGCAGCAGAAGCAGCTGCTGGCCAATCCCCTGCCGCTGGTCATGCCGATGGGCAACATGCCCACCTTCGACGACTTTGACTTTGAGGAGTTTCTCTCCTCATTCGAGAACGAGAATGACGATGAGCAGTTCCCGCTGTTCAAAGATTGTCGCGAGTTCCTTCTGAATCGCACGACGAGCAGGCAACGCTCGTTCCAGAAAGCGACTTCGACCCCACAACAGACAGCGACAGCCACACTGAGACCGGCCACCACCAGTAGCATATTTCAGCCCAAATCACAGCCCACTAAAGACAGTCACGCCCACAGATCCAACTCGAATAGTTTGAATGGCAAGGGAGACGAGAAGCTCCAGCTGCAGATGCAGATGCAGCGCCAGCAGTCGAATGCTTCCAGTGTTGGCAGCCACGACGAAAAGATGCCGCAGAAGATGCAGCAGATGCCAGTGCAGATGGTGGGCAAGAGGCCAGCCGAGGAGCAGCAGAAGCGGGAGATCTTCATCAGCATCGAGACGGAGACAAATGATCACGGGCGTTCCCCCATCTCACCGGACTCCCTGCGCCACATGGTGGGCAATTCCCAGACGCCCATAGACGTCCTGCACATAGAGAATGGCAACGAGCCGGAGCACGCACGGTTCAGAAAGATCAGCGACACTGAGGACCCCTATGTCGACGCCCAGGGAGAGCCTGATGATCGCGCCAGCCAGTTGACTGGCAATGCCAACAGACTGACTCTATCATCGAGCGACTCCGTCCAGGTGAACAACGCCAAGAATCTGATCCAGCAAATGCAGAGCGAGTTTCGGCAGATGGGCGAGGATGCCGGCGCCTCGATTCGCACCCTGTTCATAAGAAGGCCTGAACAGCAGACGGATCCGGAGCCAGTGCAACAGCTTCAGCAGCTACAGCAGCAGGTGAAGGCTGGTTCCCCCATGACACCCTCAGCATCGGCGGATTCCGACGAGCTGAGCAGCCTCGATGGCTATCCCATGTCCTCGTCCCACTCGTCGCGTCGTGGCGCCAGCTCCAAGCTAAGCTCCGACTCTGCCTATGGCAGGTGAGTAATCTGCACTTATGTGGGGCTGGGGATTGTCTTCGTTGAATAATTTGTCCGTTTCATCATTTCCATTGCAGCACCAATTCCCCCTACAGTCTGTCGCGCCAGCGATCCGGCGACCTGCAACCGGGCACACCACGCAACCAGAGTCTGCTGCGTCCGCACACGGCCAGTGCCAAGCTGCCCAGCGCCGCCATGACTGATGCCTCCACTCAGGCGCACAATGCCTATGCCACGCTCAAGGCACGTCAGAGGCTGTATGGTGGCGGGGGCACCGGCAATAACATTGGCAATGGCAATACCGATGGAGCCGAGTCCTCCAGCAGTGGATCGGAGCACTCCCTGATAATGGCCACGCAGCAGCCGCAGGAACAACAGCAGCATCAGCAGCAGCAGCACAACAGACCAGACAGCAACTATAACTACCAGCAGCAACAGCAGCAGCAGCAGCACCAGGTGCAATCCCAGCCAGCATACAACAGCAACAACAACAATAACAATAACAACAATGGGCAGATGCCACTGACTCCAACCACATCGCAGCATTCCCTGCTGAGCAGTGCCTCCGCGTCCAGCCTAAGTTCGAGTACGAAAATGTCCAAGTTCTGCCACGAATGTGGCGGCAGGTTCATCATCGAGCACGCCAAGTTCTGCATGGAGTGCGGCGTGCGGCGGATGATACTCTAATCTCGGGGCCAAAACCCCACGTAGATATTGTTGGACCCCATCTACAACCCACTCACACCCACCCACCCACTCAAAAAATTGCACCGCATCACACTCACACACTGATGATGGCTGCTGGTGGCTGATGGGATGCCTCCTGGGGTCCGGGGGTCTTTTATAAGTGTATACCAAATGAAGTAACTCACACGCGAACGAAGCAGCCAAGGAGAATGCTGATATGTCCTACACACAGATAACTAATAATAATATATTTAATATATATACCCATACATACATATATTTTAATATATAAACCAAAAAGCGGAACACAAATTTGTATATCGAACGAACAAAAATCAGACTAGGCATGGCAGAAGAACTTCGCTGAGGTTTCTCTTTGCATTTGCCGTCCAGTGCATGGACATTACTTCGTCACAAATCAAACGTAAACCATTAATCACTTTAACCAAGTAAAGTTGATGATTAACAAAGACTGAACGAATTTAAACGATAGGCGTTGGATAACAAAATTGACAGGCTCCTCCTCCTCCGCATTCAAGATCGTAGCTACGTATTTTTAAACATTTTTCGAAACCTAACGCAGCAGCAGCTCCACTCCATTGTATTGTATTCTTTTTAATCTGATTACTAATTATATAGAGACACTGCTTAAATATATACTCTAAATGATAATGCTTGCACAATTGCATCTGACTATCAATCCGGTAAGAGTTCGTAAGGGTTCCATTCAATTCATCCGGTCAGAGGAATTTCTCAGCTCAGTTATCAAATAATATTATTTTTCTTATTCTCTTTCTCTCATTTACAGTTAAAGAACTGGAGCACTTTTATTAACGTCACAAACCGCAAGAACCGAACATTGTTACAGAACATAATAAACATAATATAAAATGGTCACAAAAAAAAATACGTGCTTTAGGAGTGTTCTAGGCAGACTCTAGGCCTTGAACTTTTACTAATCTAGGGTACTGCAGCCGTTCATCCCTTTTGGGTAGAGGCTGAGCTTAGCTTAGAACCGAACTTATATCTTTAGAAGATTATTTTTGATTGAGGTCAGCGAAGAGCGCAGCTCTAGGATATCTTTAAATCATTCATCATGGCACTGATGGCGGTGGGGGAGATTTTATCTGGAAGAAAGTGATGGCATATGGGGATAAGTCCAAATGAAATGACTGTATGTACTTTAGGCACTTACCCATTTCTGGCATCACTTTCTTGGCTTTAAGCAAGTGCATATTCCGATTTGAAGTGCCCAGATGTGTGCTGTATTCCGTTAGGGAATTCAATGAATTCTTCTTCTTGTAGAGATACGTTTGATGTTTTATGCACTCATCAATGATGAACTTGAAGTCGGGATTATGGCGTAGAGTGACGGGATTGCCGATGAGTATGAGCAGCGCCTTGGGCCGCGAAATGAGCACATTGATTCGACGCGGGTTACTCATGAAGCCCATGTAGCTGAAGGAACGCACCAGAGTGGCAATGATGATGAGCTTCTCTCTGCCCTGATAGTTCTCCACGCTGCCAACTTCCACACATCCGAGGCCCTGCCGCTCAAGCTCCCGACAGATAAGGTTACCCTGAGACGTGTATGGAGCCACCACGCCAATGTCCTCCTGCTTCACTTCGATATTAGGGCCCAGGCCATTTTCCAGCAAGCGCCTGATGTACCAACAGAGAACCTGTGCCTCCAGCGAGTTGAAAGAGCTGGTAGTGTGTTGCTCCCTTTCGGTGACGCCATGTGTGGCCTGAAATATGATGGGGAACTGGCCATTGGGCAGCACATCCCACTCGGCGGCCTGGTTGACCTCTGCGGCCGGAGCCTGTGCGATCAGCTCTCCACCGTAGTATAGCTCGTTAAAGAGACGCACTATCTGTGGATGAGATCGATAGTTACGGCGCAGACGCGCCTGAAGGGTGCGATCGTAATTCCCGTTCTCGTCCAGCTTGTAGCAATCTGAGGCCAGTAGGCGCTCCATTAGAGAGTGAGTCAAGCCAAGGGACGCAGCCCGGCTGCTTTTGATCACTGCTCCCAGCTGCTTGTGATCTCCGGACAGAATCACATGGCAGTCGCTGTTCTGCTTAACACCAACAATGCCCATAAGAGTCTCCGGCTCGGTGGTGGAACCGGCCTCGTCGATGAATATGTGGGTGAAAAAGTCACCAAAGCCAGAATGAGCCAGTCGGCCCACAGTAACCAATGTGGCCACAGTGATGGTATACTGAATCACATTACGCCCTCGTAGATGCTTGAACACATTGCCTGCGCAATTGGAGTTATTCAGCAGCAATGGGTCCACCGATTTCAGCCCCTTCCTGAATATGCTGCGTGAATAGATGCGAATCAGCGACTTATTCTTCTCGAGCTGATAGTGGTATATGAGCCGAGGGTTTGCACTGATGGACTCGCACAGTTTCATGGCAATCGTGTCGCAGGCCGAGTTCGAGCCGGCTGTTACAAGGATGCGGCTTTGCGATTGTTTCAGGCGTACCTGTAGAATAGCCTCCACAATGGTAGTGGTCTTGCCTGTGCCTGAAAGTGAACAGAAAAAGGTGATGATCTGTGTGACTGTAGACTGGGACCACTCCACTTACCTGGTGGTCCGAACACGATAAATGGGGCTCTGAAACTGGGTCCAGCCACAATTCTCTGCACCGCCTCAAACTGTTCTTTATTGTCGCATATGGTCTTGTTCAGCAGACTAATCTCATCTGGTGGGGCCGTCGGGGGCGGTGGTCGAATCTGCATCCATGTCGGATGCTGGCAGTCATGCAATTCAATTTTTTTGGTTAGCCAACCCGGAAAGGGAAACAGATAGCGACGAAGGCCTGGCATCTCCGTGAGCATATTCAGAGCGCGGTACATGAACCGAATCGGGATACGCGAGGAGCGGAGGATAATATGGAAGCGTTGCGACTGCCACACAGTGTTGGATGGGGTTTGTCCACGACCGAACTTGAAGTGAACACTGGTGCGGGAGACCTGCTCCACCCTGGCCACAAAGCGGCGGTTCGGATCTTTTCGAGGCAGATGCTCATGCGGGTGGGGAATCAGTGCCAAGATGAGATCTTTTGGCAACGGCGAGGCCATCAAACTACACTTGGGTATCAAAACAACCTCATCGATTCCCGGGGACACCACATCCTCGGCATTAACAGAAGCTATAGAAGTGAGAGCAGCTTTAAATACATTTCTCTTCGCCTTTTGAATCGCCACATTCGGCTCGATGAGCTGCGAGTACAGCTTCATGGTGGTCACATCCTCGATGGTAAGCAGAGTCAGCATCACCGAGGACGCATTGTGAAACTCCAACTTTTCGGTATTCAAATAATGCTCAAAGATGGCGTCCTTGTCTTTCAACTCTTCGTCGGTAAAATTGTTCGTCAGCGCCCGCAACATTTTCTCACTGGGCTCGTAGTACTGCAGGTCCCGTCCTGTCCTGCACAAATGGAATGGAAGTCAGATCAGTAAAATGCAATCACTCATATTGTTCACCTACCCCTCATTCTTGGGCCGTTGGTTATTTGCTGCGGCATCCGTTCCGCTTGCATTCGCTAGCTTCAATTGTACCGATTCCTTAAACCAAAAATCCACCGCGCTGCCTATCTCCGACAGCTGCCGATCCAACTGCAATTTAAGAAGGAAGACATTATCAAGCTGTTTCCACTGGTTGCTGCATTTCCACCTACAAGTTGCAAATTCATTCCGCCTGCGTTGATTCAATTTAAAAAAAAATATAAACAAGCACAAACAAATTCTGGCGTGGCGAACCGCGAGATAAACATTGAAAAAAGTTCCGTTAACGCGAAGCTAAGCGTCCCTTAGCTCAGTCTGGCAACTCTATGGCGGCATTTTGAACTTTGCCATATACGGTCACACACCTTGCACCCTGCTTAGAGATGCTGCTTTTATATCGGTAAACAGATACAAATATTGTTATGTTCGATGGCTGTGATTCTACCACCTCTAGTTGTGTTTGTTTACAAATTGTAAATTACGATGGACCAAGCCGACGATTCCGACTCGAATGAGGTTTTGATTGAAGAAATTGAGAGCAACGATGTGCCGGATGATGAGCTGGAGCAGTTCCAGGAGACGGAGCCCCTCAGGGTTGTGGACATCATAGACATGGCCGAAGACAATGACCAGAACTACGATTACGAGGAAGAAGGTGCCCTAATCAAGCGCTATGTGCAGGGCGTCCAGTGCCTAGAATTTCCAGACTTTTGCACAAAGCTCGAGCCCAGCGACGAAGATGATGAAAACAATGGGGTGGAGGAAGCCGATGGCGACGCGGGCTTGGAACGGCCTACAGTGTCTGCGCAGAAACCGCTGGTGGGACAGCAGCAGGAAGGTGCCCGCTCCGGCGGTGGCGGAAATCTGGGTCGCAAGAGCCAGCTGAGCCCCGCCCTGCAAGGATTGATGGGAGAGGCGAACCTGAGCTTCGCCTACGGCCGCTATGAGACAGCCGAACGGATTTGCATGGAGATCATCCGCCAGAACCCGCTGGCCAGTGAGCCCTTCTACACGCTGGCCGAGATCTATGAGAATCGCGACGAGGTGAAGTTCTTGCACTTCTCCACCCTGGCGGCCCACTTGAACCCGCAGGATCGCGACATGTGGATAAGAGTCTCCGACTTGCTGGTGCAGCAGGGCAACATGGCCCGCGCCCGTCTTATTTATACAAAGGCCATAAAAGTCCTGCCAAAGGGTTACCTGCTGAGGCTGCGCAAGGCGCAGCTGCTGGAGAAAATGGGCGAGACGAATGCGGCCATGTTCACGTACCTAAAGATGCTGCCCCTGATGCCGCCAGAGGAGTGGAGCACATGCCTCAGCACGGCGAAGAATGTGGCTCGCTTCTTTCACGTTCTCGAGAAGCATGCGATAGCTCTGGAGGCCATGGAAGGGGCGTACAGTGTGTGCGGAGCCCGCTTCAGCCTGGAGGATCTCAACATGTACCTGGAGCTGCTGATCCTTAACAAGCGGTACTCCAAGGTGCTCAGCTGCCTCAGAGAGCGAACAAACTTCGAGCTAGAAGACGATCAGGAGGAGAGCCTGGAGATGATATACTTTTGCGTAATACCCGATGACTATGCGCCAGAACTGAGAGCCAAGCTCTGTGTGAGTCTGATCCACCTGCGGGCCCACCACCTCTTGGGCTACCTCATCCAGAATATACAGGAGCACATCACGCTGACCGTAGACCGCGTGGAGCTGTACATGGACATCACGGAAGCCCTGATGCAAGAGCACAAGTATGCCGAGGCCATAGCCCTTATGAGCCCCATCACCGATGGCGACACCTTCGACTGTCCGGCCTTCGTTTGGCTGCGGCAGGCGGAGTGTTTGCGCCAGCTCAATCGCACCAATGAGGCCATCCAATGCTACCAGAGAGTGGTCCAGCTGGCACCCGTTTGCTACGATGCCAAATTCACCCTGTCGGCACTGCTGAAGCAGCAGGGCCGGCATGAGGAGGCTGTCGAGGCCCTAGAGCAGTCTGGCGAGGTCGAGGGTCAGCCGCTGATTGCTCGTCTACTCTACGAAAGGTGCGTAATGCTGAAGCAGATCGGACGCATCGAAGAGTTTCTGGATGTGGGATATGTTCTGCTCAGCAGGCATTCCATCAAGCTGAAGAATCGCGAGGAAATGATAGCGGCGGCCAACGGAGGAAGCACCTACAATGCCGAGAGCCTGAAGGCCATCATGCAGATGCGAAGTCTGGCAGCTGGGGCGACGGGATCAACAGAGCCCGAGCTGCAGGTAAAATACACACAGAGCTGCGATTGCTTCTAAACGAATCCAATTAAATAAAACTTTTTTTTTTAAGGATCCCGGCAAGAGTGCCGCATCTGAGGCCTCCGATCTGACTATCAAGGATGAGTACGATCTGTTTCTGGATCTCATGCGCACGGCCCACTCACACGGCATGAGCTGTGCCGCCGAGAAGCTCTGCTTTGCCATGGTCACCACAAAGAGGTTCACGTATTACCATTACGATATTGAAAGGATTATGATTCTGGCCTGCTATTTCAATGACGACTGCGCAATCGCATTCTCGTATCTGCGGGAGCTCATCGCCAAGCAGCCGAACCAGATAAACCTGTGGAATCTGCTCTCCCTGCTCGTCCAGAAGGGTGAGGATATGCGGTACTGCCGCTACATACGGCGCCTGCTGCATCGCCAGCCCCTGGTCGACCAGCAGATGCGTCTCTTCCTGGGCCACTACCATCTCAACTGCAGTTCATTCAAGTACGCCCTCAACGTGTACGTGCCCATGCTGCGAGAGAATCCTGACCCCCTGGTAGCCCTCTCCATCGCCGTCGTCTTCAATCAGTTGGCCCTGCAGAAGAAGGTGCTCCGCAAGTCGGCCGCTGTCGCCCAGGCGGTGGCCTTTGCCGAGCGCTACAAGGAACTCCGTTTTGTTGGCGACGATTTCTCCAAATGCGCTGCGCAGCAGGAAATCTTCTACAACATCGGACGCATCTACCATCAGGCGAATATTCTCCACCTCGCAGTCGAGTACTACGAAAAGGCTTTGGCCGTGGAGCATCCGCTGATTGTCGAGCATCAGGCCACGCTGGGACTTCAGCACGAGACGGCCTTCAACCTGCATCTCATATACCGCGCCAATGGCAACCACTGGAAGGCCCGTCAGTACCTCATGCGTTACTGTGTGGTCTGACATTAAAGCAGATACAAAAAATATGAAAATAATCATTTATTATTGCTTCAAATCGTCCATGGAGACAACGCACATTGAGTGGGGATTGGTTGGGACTTTGAAGATGGCTAGCAGCCCGGGCATAGTGCAGCGACGATGCTTGACCAAACGCTTGGGACAGGACTGGCCGCCATGCTTCGGCTCGCTTATGACGAAGCGATGGCCCTCGGAGAAGCCGACACCGCAGCTGACGCTACAGGCAGACCAATTAGCCCACTCGGACATGATGCAACCCTTGGGGAGATTGCCATCCTGGTCAGCCGTGCTCGAGGAGGAGCCCATCATGCTGCAGGTCTGCAGACAGTCGTTCTCCGTGAGGAAGTTGTTCCGGTTGCCCCGGCAGCCGCCGTAGCTAAATGCATCGCAGCGATGGGTGAGCGGATTGAAGGCGTAGCGCTGATAGCTGCCGCGACATGGACCAGAGTCCGGCTGTTGGACGCAAATGTCCTTGGCCAGCTCCATATTGATGTGGCAGTCCTGCGGATTGACGCACTCCTTCTGTTGGTGCAGCTCCATTCGTTGCGTGCAGTTCTCCTTCTCTGGTCCGTTCTCCAGCAACAGGAGACGGGTGCGAATGGTCACGCCGCGGCCACAGGTGGCGGAGCACGGGCTCCAATCACTCCACTGTGTGGTGGGACAGGTCGGATCGGGCAGCTCCACCTGCTCGTACGTGCAGTCTGGCCTCATGCACTTGTTCTTCTCCACGATGGTTATGTGCGGACAGCGCTTGCGACCCAGATGGTTGACAAAGGCGCGCGTTCGCATGGTGATTCCGATTCCGCAGCTGGCAGAACACTCTGACCACACGCTCCAGGGCGAGGTCTTGCAGAGGCCGGCTCCCTCGCCGTTTTCGTTGACCAGTGACTGCGAGTTGGCCAGGTTTTCGCCCTCATCCTCGTCGCGGTCGCGGCTGGGCGCTGAGCCGTCGGCGCACTCGGCCACCGCAGCCACACACATCTCCTTGGACACCAATTGGCGACTGCACTTGGCCTGCTCCGCCTGCTGTGGGTGGGTATACTGCCGGCCGCGCATCCGAATGCCCTTGCCACAGGTCACCGAGCACGGGCTCCACGTGGAATAGTCGCTAACCCGGCACTCAGCTGCAGGCCAGATGATGGGAGCTCACATTAAAATGAAATGGCTGGAACTTGGTTGCGCATCTTACCGCGAGTGTCCTGCTCCTCGGCATCGTCCGACACCTCCAGTTGCAGTGCCTGCAGGAACTCATCGTCGCAGTTTCGCGACACGATCTTCTCTCGGCGCAGGCTCAGCTTGGCCAGGGGCGTCATCTCGCGGCTCTGTGGACTGTAGAACGGAGCACGCGGATCCTCTGGGTACATTGTCGTGATGCGGTACATCCGTTCCGGCGGCTGTGTCTCTGAATTGGGCGACTACAGCGAAAACGACATTAGGCATTTAATTTGGAGGCATGGCATCCGAGCATGCTGGGACCTCACCATGTAGGAGATTCCGCTGTCGGTGCCAGCATCCCAGGGATACAAATCAAAGTCCAGAGACTCCTTCCAGCTGCAGTCGTCAGTGCAAAGATCGACGCCACTGATGCCCACGACCCAGTCCGGGGAGGGGCCAAACATGGACACCATGGACACCTTGGGATGCTTCCGATCCACGCGGAACTTGGAGGAGGTGTTCTCGTTCACATTGGGATACCAGAGTCCAGCGGCTTTGATCAAAGTACGCAGCTTGGGGCCGTTGGCACGCAGCTCCGTCTCCAGAGCTGCCGGCGATCCCCATTCGGCCAACGAGCGAAAACCGGCGGTCGCAATGTGGTTCTCACCCCAAAACGAGAAGTTGGACTCGTGCGAGGCCCCAATCACGTCCGAGAAGTGCGTCAACCAGATGGCAAACGGATAATCCTTGGGATGCGTCTCATTCGACCAGATGCCCTCAAAGACAAACTGCAGGGGCAATGCAATGGATTATGGTTACCTTTTGGACCGATAGATAGGTTGACCTTACGATATTCCACTTACGCTGTACTTGGCCTCGTCGCAGGCGCAGCATTCCTTCTGAGCCGTGGCAGCGTCGGGCTTGCGCTCACAGATCACCGCCGACAGGTGGCCGTCATCCGCATACCACGCACGCGGCCCCTCGTACACCATGGCGGAGAGTGAGACGCAGCCAGATCCGGACTCTGGAGCTACCCACATCACCTGGACTTCCGTCTTGGGCAAATCATCCGCCTCCGAGACAGTGTTCACACATCGATCATTGAATTGGGTTAGCGAATCACTAAATAGCTGGAACCGGCCCACGCGTCGAGGGCTGGCCACTTGGGGGCGCCTGGCGCCAGTTTGAGCCTCTGCAGTAATGGTGAAGTGGGTGAAATGTTGCACCTTAGTGTGCGTGCGAGAGCCGAGCAGGAGTACTGTGAAAGATTTAAAATACGCGGGTAAAATATGACTTTATTCGATAGTGTCATCAACAGAGCGGGTAAAAATGTGCTTGAAGCGATGCTTCGCAACACTGACTGCCTCACATTCGCAGCTGTTCATCGATAGTCGCCATAGAACATCGATGGGTCCAAAAATGTTTAAAACATCGATGCATCGATGTTTCTCCATCTCTAATTACGCGGCGCGTCTTTTGTTCTTCTTGTCATTGTTTTGTTTTAAAAATGTCTTCGTTTCTCGATTTATTGGGCGACGGGGGACATGTACACTTTGAAAAATGTGGAGACGTTGTTGTTTCGCCCAAGGACAACATGGTGGCCATGTTCTGCCATTTCTGCAGGGACATTTTCACACATCTGCCGGAGTTCATGAGACACCTACAGTGGTCTCACAGCGATGTATTGACATTCACAAAGGAGCAGAATGTATACAGAGTCGAGGAGCTGATGTCCTTGGAGAGCTCAGAGGAAGATACGCAGTCGCAGGCAAACAGCTGCAGCAGCGGCGACTCTGGATTGGCAGGCGAAATGGAAGATGCAGATGCTGGACCAGGATCATCCGAGTGCCTGGCAAATAACGTGGACATAATGAACGCCTTGGCAGCCTTCGATGTAGAGGTCGATGGGCTCAATGCCAACCACGAATGGTTTGAATCGAAAACCCTTGCGGATTGTCAAACAAAAGGTAAGTCGTGGAGCAACCAGACCAATAGCTCAGACTAGAAATGTGGAATCCTTTTGTATCCGCAGAAATTGGGAAAATATGTGCCGCAAGAAATATTCTGGCAGAAGTGGAAGCCATTTTGCTTGAGAATGAGAAAGACATTTCTCCCAGCGTGATAAACAAGCCCGGATATCAAACAGTCAAGGCAGCGGAAAGCAATATCCCAGCAGTACCAATCATAGCAGAAACACCCATCAAGAAAACGTACTGCAAAGTAAACTACACCGAAAATGAGATAGAGGCCCACATCTCGAAAGGTTTCCGTCGTGTCCGCAAGCCGGAAAGTGTGGATAAACCGCCGAGCATCTGTGACCTGAAGAGCTACAACATAATCCGACACCGCAAACGGGAGGCGATCAAACAGCGCTTGGGCAGCGTAAAAAAGCGTATCATGCTTTCCCTAGAAAACGATGTGCCAAGAAAGACTGTCCTCATGAACCAAAAGGCCAGGTGTCCGCCTGTTAAGGGCTCCAGCGTTAAGCAGGAGTTGCCATCATTCAAAAAGGAGTCCAAAGACTCGGTTGTGGCTGAAGCTACAAAATTGTCGCTTGACAAATTAGAGTCCAAAGAAAACCGCTCTGTGTTAACTCATGTGATCCAGTCCAGTGAGATAAAGTCAGCGTCTATGAACCATTTGATAAAGCCAAAAACTTCATCTATTACCAGTTTATTAAGGACAGCATTAACCTTTCCCAAACCCAACTCTTCTCCTTCAAACAAGGCAAAACAAGTCCTGTCCAATTTGACAAATCCAAATAGTACGGCAAATGGTAGTACCCCCTTGATAAAACCATCAATTCCTGCAAGTCAGCGTGAGCCATTAGCTAAAAACGAGCCAAAGACTTACATGAGAAGCCCTAAACTCAACAAGCCGCAATCGAAAGTCAATGAACTCTGCTCGAACTCTCTTAGCCCTATCATTTCTAGCTCACCAAAACAATCAAAAATGTCTGCTCTATTGAAGGGCAGTTCAGTTAATGAACCACCAGCTTGCCTGGAAGCTCCAAAGCCTTTAACGTTTGATTCGGCTACTCCAAAAAAAAAGCTTTACGTGCCGTCGATAAAATCGATCAATAAGCCAATTCTTCCACGCCCCAGCACGCCAACAGTTAAGACAGATCCAAACATCTGCAAGGCGCCCGTATGTAGAAGATCGCCAAACGTAAGGATAGAGCGCGTGAAGATTCTGCCAAAGATTAATGTAAATCAGATTGTGGAAATGTCACAGTTGAAGACCACAAATAACGATGCAGTGGATCAGCCCAAGCGTCCAGTGCGCAGATCTTCGCTAACGGTCGTATCCAGTAGCCCCATTCAGGCTCAGAAACCTACGCGAAGATCTTCTACGACAACAGTTAAGCCCACTGTAAACACACAGCTTCTACGTTCGGCACCAGTTGAAAGTCTTGCAAAAGCCAAGAAACGTTCAAATGACAGCTTTGGCGTTTCTACTTGCTCCACTGAGAATAACGGCGATGTAAAACGGACCAAAATAGAACAAGAAATATGCTCCATGAACTTCAGCTTGTCGGCGAGCGTTATAGACTATCTTCAGAGTGATTTGAATACCTCAAAATTGGATGCCGACAGCCTCCTTCAGTTGGCTGAGCCCCGTGAAAGCGATGCCTTTGAGAACATACTCGTGAAAGACCAAGTTGTAAGTGCCTGATCGATGATAGATGTATTTAAATTATAATTTTTAACCCCTTTACAGAAAAGGGCGACAAAGGAGGGAAGCCCCCAAAAGATGGAGTCACCTGCACCACAAACTGGTGCCAAGCCTGAAATTGAGGCTCTGAGAGAGGACCTCAAGCTGTTGGAGACTGTTGGGGTAAGAAATACATCGTAAAAATCGCAAAAAAATAAAAACTCAATTAACAGCTTATATGCTTTTCAGTTGCTTATAATAAAAGTGCCCTGCTTTGAGGATAAACTGCCCTTGGAGCAGTCGGAAGAGTTTCGTAAAAAAGCCGCCAATTTTAGCAAAATCTATCATACGTACGATACAATCTGGAGCTACAGGAAAACAAAGACCATTGGAGCACCCCAACGCCTAATCCAGATGTTAAACTCATTCACCGAAGAGGTAAACAAGGAGATTGGCTGTCACTTGACCACTAACGAGATGAAACGCATTCTCAACCTTATCAACTCGTGGTATGGAGAGCAGATCAATCAGAGATTCTTCAGGAAGGCAATCCTTTCATACAGCGTGGAACACTACATGTTGCTGTTTCAGTTTCTGCCAAAGATTATTCCATCTGTGTACTTCTGCGAGCACTGTGAGGAGACCTTCCCCAACGAACCACGCTACAAGAAACATGTGCAGAGTCTACATGCTGTCCACGCGTTCACTTGCTCCGAGTGTGGTAAATTCTTCAAGAGGCTCTACTTCTACGAGAAACACCTCAAAACAGTACATCCTAAGCCATAAATTAGTTCGTTTTTGTTGTTTGCAATTGTTGAACCCTTTTTGTAGCACACTCTATACAATCAAGTGAAATTGTAGAGCGAGTGTGAGGCAAATTGTACCTATATGATTCTGTTCAAAAAGGCTTTCATGAGACTGCTTCCACTCTCAATTTGCGGGGAGAGTGGTCAGAGCAGGTCAAGTTCATGAACCTTTATCAATTCACCTTCTATTAATCATGTTAAACCCTAACTTAGATCCACTCTATTCATTTTCTAGCAGTAATTCTAAGTATCAGGCCATTTAATTTCATATTTCCATGATAAAAATATAGTAAACACTTCCACTATATTTCGTACTCGTAGCACCATTATCAAGTGGAACAATGAATCGAATTGAAAAGATGGAAAACATCTGCTCTGGATGCTGGGATGCTAGGCTCTTATCGCTACGCTCTTCTTGTTTTCAGGCCTTAAGTGACCCGACCGACCAGAGATGATTATGAAACCTTCTCTACTTACAATTATATGTTTTCCCGGGTACATATCCATTGGGTCCATCAGCCACAATTAGTTTGTATCCATTGTCGCCGCGTGTGCGTCGACCATGAAGCAAGTGGGTGGGCGCACGCGGACAGGCGGAGGCTGCATTAATTGTCTGCCAGACAAAAACGAGGCAGGCAAGCAACAGCAGCAGCGATTGCCCCATCATCTCAGATTTTTCTTTGTTTCACGCGTTATCGTTTGACGGCTGGACTACTGCAAAGGCAAACAAGCGGACCGCTTCAGGCAAGGCACAACAACAGACTAACAAAGCCGGAGAACCGAGCGATCTTCAAGTCGGACGGCAACCCAAAGCCGGATGTCACCGCAGCGATCTCGCGCTCGCATTCTGATTAATAGTGTAGGGTGAGGGTTTCAGCAAATTTGCTCCTTCACTGGAAGAGTAGAATGATCCCTACGTTCGTTCATGTCCGTTTTCTAATAGTATATATGTATATTTTGTGGTATAAATGTTGCCGTACAATTTACAAATAATATTACAATTACATATATCTATATTCGGGTAACATTGTTCAATATTCGCACTCGTACTCCTATTCGTACTGGTACTGGTATATGTAGTTTATAAATTTGTTGGTTGGCTCTGCATCGACTATAATGCGTTTGGGAAACTCAACGTTCGTAGTGAGCGAAGCGAATTAACTGATTACGCGATTGGGACTGGTGGACTGATAAACAAGTGATCACACGACTGGGGGCACTCGATCGAACAAAGCATATGTACGGGATAGGAAAACTATAAAGCATAAGGGCAAATCACAATCGCAAATTAATTTAATACTAAAAGGTCAGAATGGGCGTCTCCCGATGGTCCAGTAGATCTGCAATAGATGTTCAAATTTTGCAATGAGGGATATGCAACTGATGAGCTTGTGCTCCCGTCCTTACCCTTTGCAATGCTCCACCAGGGCAGTGTCACATAGGTGAGGAATGCATTGAGCGGCGTCGACTGCTGTCTTCGATTCTCCTTCCAGAAATGAAAGGACTGCGTAAAGCCGCGGCTGGTCCACAGCGGATTATAGGCGCCATCGTCGAGCTCTAAAAGTAGAGGAACACACATACAAAATCAGTTGCTGTCTGAACCGGAGGCAAATAAGGCTACTGGCATGCATCAGAGGTAGGGGAATATAAAAAGAAATCCTTGGCAATGACCTTTTAGGGCCTTCTTGGGCACATCGCACCAATAGTAAATGTTTGTGCCGTCCGGAGTGCGACGCTTGGGCACCAGATGTAACATCTTGCTGCTGTGAGACTGCTTGGAAGTGCGTGGCAAAGTGGCACTAGACTCCTGGTTGCCATTGGCCACGTCCAGCATCGGTGTGAGCTCCGTGGGCAAGACGACCGTGGCGACCAGCTCATCGTTATCGTTCTCATTCTCGTTACCGGACGGACTAGCCGGCTGCAGTGGATGGTCTTCCGGTTCGACAGGTACAAGGACACACTTCTCGAAGCGTTGCGAGGGTGTCTTGGGTGACTCTGACTCTACCACAGGCAGCTCTTCGCGCCCTCGCACGCTGATCATCAGCTTGCTTTCGCTCTCGCTCATGATGGCCATCTTCGGTGCACCAGCACCCAGCTCAGACTTGCTGCCGTTCAAGGAGGTGGCATCGTCGGCTAGTTCATACTCCTCCGTTTTTGCAGGCGGTGTTGAATTGGGCGTTTTTGAATTATTATTGTTGCCAGCCTTCGCCTTGGATGGTGCGTTCGACTTGATCTTGCCCATGTCAATTTCCTTGTCCTTGTCTTTGTCCTTATCCTTATCTTTGGCTTGTCTAAGCCGCTTGGGCGACATCTTGGACAGAAAATTACTCGTCGATCCGTTGGATTTCTGGTTCGAAGACTTCTTGTCGTTTTCCTTGTTCTTATCTTTCTCCTTTTCTTTGTCTTTGCACTTGTCCTGATCCTTAGCCTTGGCTGGGCGGAGTCGTGGGGTAAATATCTTCCTGGTGGCCACAGGCAGACTCGTTCTGCGATCGGCGGCACTGAGGGAGGCGCTTCTTGTGATGCTTCCGCCCAACGGCTTGCGTTTGCTGTCCACGGGCATTCGCAGGCTGCTTCTTTTGGCCACCAGCAGCTCGCTGTCCACACTCAAAATGCTGGACTTTGGCTTAAGGCGTGACTGTCGCTTGTCCGGCATCTTGCTGAGACAGGCAGGCGTCTCGTTGGACGGATCCTCGCATCTTGGGCAGTACATCTCGGACATCTCCGGGGTGTCTGAGCTGTTGGCCGATGCCCAGCGCTTCTTACACTTTTTGCCGCCAAAGCAATTGCAGCCTGTGGTCGCGCTCGTGCCAGCTTGTTCGCTGGCCACAGTCACCTCTACGGCAGCGCTTAGGGGCGGTGGAGTAACAGCCGGAACAGCTGCCGCTGCAGCTGCAGCTGCACTGTCACCGTCACCGTCACCACCACCTGGAGATTCGTGTGGCGGCACCGTGTCTAGATCACCCGTTGCGGGTACGAGCGTTTCGGAGCACTTCGGATTCGAGTGCAGTTTTGCCGCGGAGGCCGAGAAAGCAGGACGTTGCTGATCTACAAGTAGATATAGATCGGTTTTTGCGTTTATAAGCATTGATACATCGACACACATGATATGTACAACCGAGGATCGGCCCAAGCAACTTACAAATAATTGGCAACAGAAAGCAGTGAAATAATAAACCAGAAAGGTGGCGACACAGATATGCTATAGGATCGAGTGTTGCAGGTGTGGAGCAGGATGACACAGGAATGGAATTGTTAATGTTCAAGCCACCACAGGAAGAATTGGGGGGATGGGGTCAATGAAGTGATGCGCTAGTTCTAGGAACATTCTCTCAACGGGGGAGGGGGAAGGGAAAGTTCTCGAGTGTGGAGTTTATCCATTTCCATTTCCATATCCATTCTCATCGATTCACAATCAACTTTTTACTCTGGTGTGGTGTGCATTGAAACAAATGAAACGGAAAAGGGAAACAGGGTAACAGGGGGGAAGGGGTATAATAAAATAATTGTGGTTGTCCTTGTGTATTATTTGTCCTGCTTTCTCGGCAATGTCAGGGTGTTCTTTTATATATATACTCTGAAATCTGGAGTCGCTTGGAGGTAGATTAAAGTATATATATAAATTTGATAATTGGAAGTAGGTAAAGGAAAATCATCGACGGAACCACAACACATTACGAGGAAAAACTCAAGAACAAACAGAATGGAACGGAAAGGAGCAGGCAGAAGAAGCGGCAAAAACTACAGCAATGAGTGCCAGGCACACGTACAAATACGGATGTGAATGTGAAAAGCATGCAACTAAGAAACGATCAAATTAAGATTAAACAATAAGAAAATAATTTAAATTGTGAGACTGACCGTCGCGCAGGTCGCCGGCCTCGATTTCCGACACCTCGCTGGCCAGTGAGTCAAGGCCCTCGTTTTCGGAGCGTGCCTTGGCGCCGACATTGGGGCTGGTGCCGCTGCCCACCATATCCTGGGCGTTGGTATTCTTGGTACGCCAGCCGTATCGCGAGAAGTTGTTCAGATTGGCGCTGGGGTCGCTGAGCCGGCGTTGGTGACGATAGGTGCAGTAGTCATCGTTCTCCTCCTCCCACTCGTCCCACATGTCGGTGGCACAGAAGCCCGGCTCGCTTGTGGGGGTCTCCACGCCGGATCCCTTTGGCTTGGTCACGGCCATCTCGGCATGGCCCTTTCCCTGAGGTCCCTTCATGCGGACAAATTCGCAGCGTGTCTGCACTCCGGCACCGCTGCTGAACAGCCCAAAGGACATGCGCTGCGCCACCTTGGAGCTGAGACTCGATTGCTGCGCAATCAAATGAACAGAAAATAACACGAGATTCTCGTTTGTGTGGCAATCGAACGTACCCTGGCATCGTAGACCTTCTTTAGGGCATCGTAGCGTATGGATCCCAGGAATATTACGCCCTGTACTGCCCCGTCCTTGTCGTTGGCCACCAGTTCGACGCACACCATCTCGCCATCGCGCACCAGAATGTCGCTGAAGACCTCGTCAAAGTTGTCCACCATGAAACAGATGTGTGGGTACGTTATCTCCTCGCCCTCCCCCTTGGTGTCCATCTTCCTTCGGCTGGGACTGGCGTAGACGCGCTGGGAGTGCCTGCGCAGTACCTGCAGCTCCTTGGGCGATGTTCTGGTGCAAATGGCCAGCGTCAGGGTGTAATCAAACTGATGAATGACCATGTTGAGATAGACCGTCTCCTCCCAGTCCACATCGGGATCGCCGATGGGCAGTTTGCGCGAGTCCTTGCGGAATACCTCCACCTCAGTCTGAAGAGGATACGAAGTAGTATTTAGAGGCAGGGGGTCAGAGAATAGCCCACTGGTGGACTCACCTCATATTTTGGCATGTGGCGTGAAGAGCTCTTCACGTGCTTCTTGCGCACGAAGAAGAGCAAGTCATCCGAATCGATGCTGTGCTCGGGTTCTGTCTGGAAGAGGAAGTGGCGCACGAAGAGATCCGTCCAGTAGGTTGTGCCCTGGAGCACCACAAAGCCGCCATCTGCAAGAGTATTGAAAATCGAGTTATCTTCCTGCGTTTTTAAATTGGGGGCGGCTGCCCGACAGGTGAACAGCTGTTGGTAGTGACACCCACCCTCCCACAATCACACAAGGAAAAGCTGCTTACATAAAGGAAAACAAACTGTGGACCAAACAACTGGAGCGCAACACACACAGACACACACCCAGTTGTGGGTACAGACAAAAGGCAGACACAGAGACACACTCCCTTAGGGGTTGCGCGCTGACAAATCGATAATGTGCAAATGTAGACAAATTTTCTCAATGATAATGGGAAATGAAAAGTGGTTATGGACACAGCAACCAGGACACCCACCATCTTTGAGCAGCTGCCGCATCTCCTTGGTGCGCTGAAAGTTGATGTCCTCCAGCAGCTGCTGCAGCGGCGTCTGGGAACTCTTGAGCAGAGCAGCTGCGGCGCTGGCTAAAGCCATTCTGGATGGGGATTTCCACTACGATGACGATGGATGGCGATGACGAATAGCTTGAATTTCGCAATGTGCAACGCTACCAATCCATTGCCGGCGGGCGGGGAAGAGGCCGCTGGTTATATCAATATCTCAACTCCCACAGATACATAGGTTCTTGTTTCGTCGAGATTTGTATTTGTTTTCTTCGTTGCGCCACCAGTGTGACCGTGACGATAACGATAAAAAATACCATCCGGGGGCAATCGGCAATCAAACGAGACTTAACCCATTTAACACCCCTATATTAAAAAAGTTGAGCACCCTTTGTTAAGCCGCGGAAATTAATACTGTTTGTAAAGGCTCCCCGTAGCTCCATCCGCCTCTTTACTAAAAAAACAAGCCACCCCCCCGTAATTGTTAACTACTAACGTGGAATAACCCCGGCGACAATGGGTTAACGTTCTATTTTATTGATTGAAGTCGTATTCCATGATTTTGATATTCAGTTTATTATTACTAGATAGTTAGCTCTCTCAGCCCTGAACAAATAATTTTATCCGATAGATACATCAATTTTCTACAAGATGGGTTAGTTTTCAGAAGTCCTTTTTATTGCATTGTTTACATAAAAAGGTTCAAACAAAAACGGCCAAAGCATAAAACGTAAATGTTGGCTAAATGTGACGTCATTGTTGCTGGGCAACCAAGTTTCTTCTTCTTCCAAGCTGCTTTAAAACATTAATATTGCATTTTTCTCAGACTGAGATGTTTTTTACCTATTAATTCAAAAGTTTTGTGTTTTATAAATGCATTTATCCCGGTTCTAATACCTATTATTGGTACTGAAAAATGTTTGTTATCTTTAAAACAGAGACTGATTTATGCATTGATTGGAGCTGATATTACAAACATTACCTCAGTTCGATAGTAGCCATTTTCCCAAGATATGCAGATTGTTGTTCATTCCGTTCCAAAGTTGCAGAACAATGCTTCCGATTCATTTCCCCATGTTGCTGAAATTTTTCACATAGAAATCAAATGTTACTAACGGAATGAAGTAACATGTGGATCACACAACGAAAACCGTGCGCTAAACGGAATTTGGCGGTCATTTTGAAAAGTTGAGCCAAATAAATATTAAAACGTCAATTTGTTAAAATTTAAATGTATTTAAAATGCCCGCCAGCAATTGGCACTTTACCACACTAATAGTGTCACATTTGACAAGTTAGCGATAGGTGGAGAAATCGATATATCGATAGAATGCAATGGCGCGCACTTAAACTCTTTTCAATTTCGCGTGGCGAAATGTGAAAAAGGCCCGAGTACCGCACCCCAATTGGAGCTACTATGTTATCAGCACCTTTTGGTTGGTCAGCGAAGATGCGCCATTAATAAAAAAACAGTGGGGAATTTCTTGGCGGGGTGACATACAAATATGTTTGGTTTGATTGTTTAAAATGTGGTTTTTATTTAGTTTTCTCATTTTGAAATATTATTCAGTATTTATATATATACTTTCTATTAATTTCTGTGTTTTTCTTTCGTTTTCTATCTCGTGATCTATGCCTTTATGATTATATTGTATAACATTTGTATGAGTGAATATTATGTGATAATAATATAAATTAAATCGAATTGGATCGATGTTGTTCATGCGCCTCCTAGTTTCGTTTTAGTGCTCAACATTGGATTGGTATTTAATTTCTTTTAGTTAGTTATTGGCTTTACCGTATATCAAAGTGTATTGTATATATTATAATCATTAGATTGGATTGCCGATCTGGACCTACCACGAATCAGGCGCTTAGAATTTGATTTTGATTTCTCAACAAGTATCTAGTATTAAGTACATTTTTAAATGTCTATATCGTATTTGTATTTGCATTACGTGTTTGATTTTCATTTTTTCTTTTGTAATAAATATCCGCTTATGCAGGCGCTTAAATATCTAAAAGCCAAATACGAAATCGTAAAAACCTAAGTTTAAAAAAAACTCTCGGTCTATTTATGCTCCTACGATCATCGAAAGTTTCCACGAGATTCAAGAGATTTGCGAATTCAGAGTGCAGTGCAACTGCGAGTCTTATTCATTGCTTCTTTACTGTGTGTGTGTGTGTTTGCATAAAATCTAAGCATAAAAATATGTGTGTATGTGTGTGTGTATATACTCGTTTGGTACTGTATTATACCACTTCGCAAAAGTATAAATTTTAAGGATTAAGTAAGGTAGTGTAGGCTACGACTACTCCATAAAATAATCAATAAATAAATTGCTCTAAGTCAACATATGAGTTAAGGTAAAAAGCTAAGCGAGAGTCGCCTTCTGCCGCGTACGAAATATTCCACTCCACTCCAGTGTGTTCCAGTCCAATCCTGCAGCTTCACCTCCACTGTTCCAGCTACTGGCGTTTATCCACTGAGACGAATTAGTTATTTTGTGAATTAAGACTCCATTGTGCAAACTGCTCCTGCCATTGGCTATTCGCATTTGCCTGTGGGAAATGGAATGTAAATCGGGTTTAATTTCGAGCCATTCAAATGTCAAATATACGATATAGCCATACTCAAGTAAACAGTAAACTCTGGCATGCAAAGGCAATCGAAAAAGTGGGAAATCAACTACACTAGCTACAGGAAGATACATACATACATAGAGATATAGATAAAAAATATATGTTTGTTTGATCGAGTGCATTTCTATGTAGGAATAGTAGTAGTAATAGGATCATAAAATGATAAATACAACAACAAGAACAACGTCAAGAATCAATTTGAGGAGGATTTCAGTGCGAAATCCTTTACCTTTTCGGTCCACTCTTGGTTATATGATTGAGATTCGTCGAAATCTGAAATTGTATCAAGTTTGCGGTAAACATAAGTGTCATTTATAAGACCAGAAAGAACCAACAAAAACAAAATCAAGATCCAACCAAAAAAAGATAATTTATTCTTTCTTTTTTTTTGCAGATTTCATACAAGCAGCCAACACATGAAACATACGAGTGTATCTAAACTAACTAGGATGGGCTGACGGAGAGATACGATTGAGAGTGCATCCGTAATGAGATCTAGATAGAATAGAATATAATAGAGTTGATTGTAGAGTGGATTGGAGTGGATTAGAGTGGAACCTAGACAGCTACCTGCGAGTGGATGGAGCGATTCAAGATAACTCTAGATCAAAGGCAAAAGGCTAGGAATATTTTGTGGCTATATTTTACCTGAACGAGGAGTATATCTTTGTAACCTAACGACGAACGGATTATATATTCAAACTATACTTCATGATATAAGCGTGCATTATCAACTGCAGTTCATCGATTGTCTCACCGATCTCGTGCAGGGCCGGGAACCCCGCCTGGTCATCGTCGATGAAGAGTTCGGGATAATTACGATAGCCCAGAATGCGATTCACCTGCGACTGCTCGTCGCCGAGGCCAAAGGTATAATCGAAATGTACCGGCGACAAACGGGAATCGTCCATATCTGAATCGGTGTCGTCGGGCTGCGCCCCGACGGCGGAAGCGCCTTGGCACTCGTACTCCTCGTCGGTGCGGAAGATCTCCTCATACACCTGACAGTCGCACTCGTTGCACTCGCACTGACTCGAGCCCGAGGACTCGCCGCCCTCGATGTGTCGATATTCTTTGTGGATTTATATTTATATTTTTCATATACAGTTATGTCGATTTTTTGTGGAATATATGTATGTATTCCCGTTGACAGTTGACATACAAGAAATGATGGAAAATGATAAAAGAAAAGAAACCAAGGAACAGAGAAAGAGAAGTAGAAGTAGAAGCGGAAGATTCAACTCAATATTTGCAGCATTTTTTCTTATGCCGTCTATTTGGGTAATAATCTAAAATCAAAAGCAAACAAAAAGTAAGAAAAACACAATTGAAATTCAGGCTCAAAGGCAGGGAGGACAAGAGGGCATCGACGTTGGCAGCGACGACAGCGACCAGGGCAACTTACCCAATGGCATTATGAAACGAGCCTGGGGCAGGGAACTTCCAGTCTGTCCATGTCCCGTTGCCCGTCCTGTAAAATCGATATAGAGAGAGAGAGAGAGAGACCCCAAAAAACATACGCACACAGAAACAGAGATAAGCATGGACAGAGTGGATAAGTACATTCCATTCAAGGCGGTGATTGGGTAGTGATTCGGGTGGAGGTGGGGTGAGAGGACGCAGGTGGTGGCTCTAAAAGCGGTGCTACTACATAACATTCCATGTGCTTCTAATTGCGGTGCATGAGCAGTCCAAGCAACTGGCGGGATCAGCAAAACTTCATCGGCAATAGCAACGGAATATCTGCATATCGATAAGCTTTAGCGGGGGCTCTTATCACAGACACAGACACAGAGAGAGAGAGAGCGAGAGAGAGTGAGGAGCAGAGTGAGGCGGAGAGGCGGGGAATCCAACGATTTACCTGCATTCAGGTCGCTGACCATGTGGGTTATGGCCGAGGTTATATTATCGGCGGCTTCATTGAGCTCGGCATCGGCTGGACTGGGACTGGCATTGGTGGGACTGGTGGTGCGCATTGGCGGTGGCGCTGCGAATGCGAAGCGTTCAAGAAATTTGTGTTCATGGTGTATGGTGTGTGTGTACGTGTGTGGGTGTGCCACAGTGGGGTGTTTGCCCCTCCCCAATTGAGGAGGAGGGGCCATTGAGTGGAGAATTCATATTAATATCTAATCCAACTGTTTGACCTTCCCAAAATCTCACGCGTTTACCAATTCTCAATTTCAGATTTCAATCAATTTTGGACAATACGCAAAACCCGCAATTAAATGGGGGTATTCCCTCCCACCATACCCATACCCATACCCCCTGCCCTACTCACTTGCACTGCCATTGGCCGCAAAGGCGCTGCGCATATCGGTGCTGATCAGATTGAGCTGCTCCAGCTGGCTCTGGCTGAAGGGTCCATGTCCCTGCTGCTGTTGCTGCTGCATCTGCTGTTGCTGCTGCTGCTGGGCCTGCATCATTTGCTGCTGGGTGACCCTCACTCCGGGCCCACCCATGGGATGTTGCATTTGCTGGGCATGCAGGGCACTCATCGGCGAAGTGCCAAGGATGCCAGCTCCGCCACCGCCCGGCATGGGAGGTGACTTGCCCGACCGTGGACTCGAGTTGGGCGTGGACCGGGGCGAGGCAGTCTGTTGATTCTTCAGCATTCGCATCAGTCCCTCCAGCTGCTCCATCAGCTGGCGGCGCGAGTCCTGCAATGCACCCAAGTGGCCCTCCAGCTCCCCCTTGCGCTGGCGCAGGGCACGCAGCTCGTTGATCAGGGCCGGATTCTCGGGGGCCATCTGCTCGGTCTCCTGCTGGCGACGCAGGCGTGCTATCTCCCGCATGATCTCCTTGTTCTTCGACTCCAGCTGGGCGATCAACTCGCGCTGGGCACGCGAATTGTCCGTGCCAATGGGCGTGGCACTCTCGGACATATTCGAGGGCTGTGGGAATACAGATGAGGGATGAGGGATGAGTGGGTGTCCGGTGTTGAGGATCTGTTACTACTCACTGCTCGATTCTCCTGGGCCAGACGTGCCGCATAGCGGGCAATCAGACGATGCTCCTCATCGTTGGCTGAGGCGGCGGCCAGCCGAGAGATGGTGGTGCCGCCGCCACCTGTGCAGGTGGTGCTGTCTATGCTGCGGCCAGTGGCCCGCGAGTCGAGGGTGCTGGATCTGTCGAAGATGCCGGGCGGAAGGTGGCCGTGGTGGGCGCCGGCGAGGGCCAGCGTGGGATCGTTGAAACCGTTGTGCGAGGGCAAGGGCGAGGGCGGCACAATGTGCGACAGATTGAGGGTCTTTTCGGGCTGGTCCGGGAACCGTGGCAACACTTGCGTCGTCTTCTCGGGCACACAGCGGAAGCTCTTGCGCAGCGAGTGACCAATCTGTTTGCTGGGCGACTTGTAGCTCGAGTACTCCTTGACCTCGTGATCGTTTTGGTGATTCAGCGATGTCTTGCCGTGCCAAAAGCACTCCTGGCACAATTGGTAGGCGTGGCACCGCTGACAACGGTAACGAAATCCGGTGAAGTTTTCCTTGTGGCAAACAGAGCAGATCGTCGGATGCACAATCGTCTCCACGGTGGCCAGCCTATGCAGCAGCGGCAGCCACACGAGGCACGAGGGTCCCGGTTCGGACATAAGTGTTGCCATAAAATCGTTCACCGTCACCTTATTCTCCGCCGGAAAGATCTCCTCCTCGAGCCCCTCCTTGTAGTGGAATGTGGGCGACTCATAGACAGCCGCCGGCAAGGCCAGCACCTCACGCAGGAATTCCCCCAGCTTCCAGGCCACCAGCTGTCCGGCTCCATCCGAAATCTGTGAAAAGATATCTGCAAATAGAACGCAACGTGGATTAGTTTGACGGTTATGCTCTCTCTCTAGGCTGAACGCTACTCACATCTAAGCTTGTCCACCAGCTTGCCGGAGCACATGGTGGCCAGGGCCACCTTGATGGAGAACACACGAATCTTTCCCGAGTTATCACTGCCGACAAAGAGAATCAAAGACAAATTTAAAAAGGGAATTTATTGATGAAGATCAATGCCCTACACCCACCTTGTATATGCAGCCAGCAGCCAGTTGAGCAAGAGACCCGCCTTGGAGTCCACCGGCACCTGCTGGGCGGTGGGCAGACGTTTGTTCAGATTGTGATACAGCGACGAGACGAGCGTCTCCAGCCGTGCCACACTGACCTCGCTCTGGGGCTCCAGGGTGTTCAGTCCATTCTCGCGGAATGCCTCGATCACGTTCCATATGTCCACCAAGTGCAGATTTGTAGACTTTTGTATGTAGCGCAGCTTCGAGGCCGTCCTGTACGAGGCGAATCGTATGGAATCGAAGGTCTGTAGACGCAGATCCTGCAGTATGGCCACCCGCGGCTCCAGCTCCATTCTGATGTGTGGTGGCTGCAATTTAATTAAAAATATTATCGCATACATTATTATAATACATATACGAGTAGAACATAATAATAGTTTTCACAACAAACTGGGTCACCGCTGCGGGAAGGGAGCAACAGGACACGTACAGCAGCCCACCACAGCGATTGCCATTACCACTCCCAACCACCATCCTATTATGTTCTCTCCTTTTTTTTTTTTATTACATGTTCCATTGTGTTAGCGGCATCCTCCGACGGCGTTGTCGTTGTTGTCGTTATCGTCTGGCTGGCGGCAGCCACAGCAACGGAGGCCAATGTGGCACGCGTTGGCTCCCTCGTGGCATTCGCCGGAAGTGGAAGTGAGCAATCCACAGAGACAGGACCCCCCCCCTTTCTTTTTCCAGCCACTGATTGGAACAATGCAAATTTAATAATCCGCCACCCACGCTAAAAGTTCTTACTTTCATAAACCGCTTTGCCAGTCCAATTAATCGACAAGGGGATTCTGCTGTATCCCAACTCCCAACCACTGCTCCCCTCCCCTCACGCTCTCTCCCCGCATGGCCATGCGTAGCATCCTCATAATTTCCTTGTTGAGACAATGGGAAGCATAATTCATGGAACGACAAACTTCAGACTTCAGACTTGAGAAGTTGCTATCGCATCACACTTCTCGTTCCAAGACTAGCAATTGATTTTTCATCTTTCAGAGCAGAAATCATTTCGAATTGGACAATACCCGGTAATCAGATTACGAGCAATCTTAGAGAAGAAAACCCACGAGTCTGACTCTAGTCTGGATTGGTAGATTGAAACCTAAGCGATGGTTGTGTCAAAGTATAGGCTTTGCAGCTAAAGAATTTGGCATGTTCCCTCAGATATTGTTCGATTCTCTGGGATTCCAAGTCACGTACATACGGTACATACCCTTTGCACTCAAAAAGTACCGGCTACAATAACTTGAAATGTCCTTGGCAAAAAGGAGAAAGACGACGCCTCTGAGTCATCATGCGAACAGAAAAGGAAACGAGTAATAGGAGAACTTTTCTATGGAGATCTGATTTCAATTTCTGTCTCATAGCGCGCACACATACATACATATGTACATATGTCTATGTCTATGTATGTCTATGTGTCCCATGCTGTCCTTTGCTGTCATGTCCTGTTCTGGCCAATTTGAAGAAGTCCTGCCATTTAAATACAGCTTCCTTTTCCTGCCCGCCTTCGGGCCGTTCTCGTGTCAACAAAATGATAGTTGTTACAGACCACACCAAACCACCACCCAGGGAGGGGGCGTGGATGGGGGGGCGAACAAAAATGGAATTCAATTTCCAAAACTGCAAACTTTTTGTGAGTGTGAAAGATGAGCAGCTGATGACAGGGCATCAAGCCGAGGAAGGAGAAGAAGGGGGCGCAGAATGCTGCTGCTGCTGGTGCTGCTTTTGGTACTGCCGCTGGTGATGACTATGATGATGATGAAGATGACTCATAAGGCGCTCTTCTTTTCCACCACTTGGGCATACGAAATAGAGCAACAACAGCCGTTGGAACACATAAATACATATGTACATAGTACATATGTATGCACACATGCACAGAACGAAATATAAAGTTTTTAAAAATTGAATTGGAATATTTTAAGCAGAATCAAGACATACATATGTATATGTCATATATATACCAATGTACATTTATGTATATTTCAGATGGAAATGATCCTTTTGGCAAATACAACTTTCCATGAATCTTCGAGCGCTCTTTTAAGTAGTATACCGGTATTTTTCTCTCGGTGTATACACACATGCACCCACACGTATAGACACACACACGCGCGCACTCACATATTCTTGGGACATGAAGCGAATGCTAGGGAGCTTTGCAAACATTTGCGCACGAAAGTATGCAACAAGACCTGGCTGAATAATTTGAGTTTTGGTCAGGAAGGAAAGAAGAGAGAGAGAGTGAGCAAGAGGAGCGATGCGGTGCGGTGCGGCGAGGTGAGGTGAGGGAATTCCGCATTGCCAGGGGCTGCAGTTGCTGCAGCTGAGGCTCCTGCTGCCGCTCACGCCGCTGCTCAGAGCCCAGAGCGATGACATCCTCTGCTGCTCCTCTCGCACGAGTTTGTGCCAAGTGGCCACCCTCCGATTACACCCATACACCAGGCCAGGACAGGGTATGCCAGGGGAAGGGGCAGGGGAAGACCCCTATTTGTGTCATTCAGAGAACTCTGCAATAAAAAATTCTCTTTTCTGTCGTTGTCAGCATTTATATATGTATGTTTGTATATAAATTCCATTGCAAAATGCTCTCACAACACCTCACCACCAAGCCCTCACGTTTTCCCCCCTTTAAATGGGATTTCCCCAATTGCCACTTTTGTGCTCCTTCCAACCGCAATTGTTTCCAGGCCTTTGCTGTCGTTCTGTTGCTGTTTTGCGGGCTTTGGGGAATTTGGTCAAGCAGCCACAATTCATGCAGATGTCCTGCTTGTTTTATTTAGTCGCCATTTAAATGTGTTTAATCTGCCCGACAAGCCGCAAAACTTTCCTAATCGAAACTGCTCTGCGTGCGACACTTTGACAAGAACTTTCGATGCAACTTTCAGTCATCGCAAACGTTGGGTCCATGTCAACAGATTCGATTTTCATTACCGGAGGAAATTGCAATTGGTTTCAGGTTGCGGAACAGCATCGCGATTGCTGGCTGGCTGGCTGGCTGTCAGGCTCCGTGGAAATGGGTCGACCGGAATGAGGTGATAGCGGTGGGTGGCGGTATGCATGGAAACTTAATAATGTATATAAATAAAAAATGGAACTGATGGCGGCTCTTTATGACATGAAATATCAAAGAGAACTCTTGAAACCCATCAAACTGTCAGAGCCATAGTGCACAGAGCTAAAAAAAAAGGGATAAAATATAAATGGAAAGAAAACATACAGGACCTGAGGCCAGCGTAAAAGTTTCTTCTAGTTATCTAGAGGATTATCGATTCAATCATACTTTAAGTCCTTTCAGGACTTTCAATCAAGATTTCGAAAAGTTATAATTAAGTTTTACTGTCCTTCTGCCTGAGTAGCAGAAACATTGAATCATTCGTCATCCATGCACTGCATGGGTGACCCCAACTGAACCCTACTGCCAGGGGCGATGGGGGGGCCAGGTAGCAGCAGGAGCTCACGTAGATGCTCAATTTACTAACGGAGCAGAAAAAAGGAGCTGGGAAAAAAATGGAGCAAAATGAAGTAAAAAGGCAGCGTAACCGCATAGATGAACTATGAATGGTGAAGGGGGGAACTACACGGACGATGGCGTGTCCAGGGACCTGCATCAAAAGATTTCAAAGTTCTTCCCTCTGCATTGCTTTGCTTTTTGCGCTTTTCCCGCAACAGAAATTAAACAAGTTTCGGTTGAAAGTTGTCCCATGTCGGTGTCCGTGTCCGTGTGCTGGGTGTCCTGTTCGTCCTGGGCTGTACGTTGTACGCCTGCTGTGCTGTGTTTCATTTGCGTGCCAGAGAAATCAAAGTGGGAAATAACCAACCGAACCCCAGCGATGATAACCTGGCACATAATTTTGCAATTTCAGTCGCACACAGAAAGTCAAGGAGGGTGGAAGGATGGCAGGTTGGCAGGATGGCAGGATGGCCGGATGGCAGGGGGGAAATCGTTTCGTTTCGTTTTATTCCATGAAAATTCCTGCTTTTCCGTTTCGGGAACGAGGCGGCAACAGGCAGACAGAGCCAGAGGTCGAGGTGGGATTGCATGTCTGGCAAAAATGATGTTCGACTGAAATCGCAGGCCGTGCAATAACCTTTTTTCTGTTCAGCAAAGGAATCCAAAGGCTGGGCCCAGACACTAACTGGAACTTGCAACGGAGTTAATTGAAAAATTTAGCCAAACAATCTGCCGCCGCCTGCAACTTCGATATATAGCACACAAGCACAGTATACGCTCGGATAGATGAAACACAGGGGCCCAGTGTTATAGGGAATGATTTTTCAGCGTCAGTCCTTCATTCATTATTGGGTGGTGTGCACTGTACGTGCAGACACGTAATTTCGTACACAGGAATGCAGCAGATATGTGTACAGTGTACACCTACATATGCTCCAATAGTCATAATTGATTGCTCCAAATGGGCATCCATTCATCTACAGCCCCACTCCCACATTCGATCATATGGTACGACAGGGAAATCCAACTGAAATTAGTTCGTGAACACAGCAATAAGCTCGCCCAACAAACCGAAACAGAGACAAAGGAGCTGTGACGAAGCTGAAAAAGAAGACCAACAGAAGACAGCAGAAGCACAAGCTGGAAGGAAGTTGTGTCCCAGTTAGAGGCGGGCAACTGTCATCATCCTCGTCAGACTGCACACCGAGTAATTATGGGAAATGGGAGCACAAATGGGAGCATTCACTGTAGGGAGCCTCAAAGCAGCGGGAGCGGGGTTGGGGGTTAGGTATGCTGCAAGCATTGCCTGTGCCACTTACATACAACAACTCAAATGGTAAATGCGAATTGCAAAATGCAAAATGCACATTCCACAGCACCACAAAGTCCCATTAGTCGTCGGATGCCGCTGTGGCTGCCTCTCAAGGATTACCAAAGGGATTGAGCCAGCACTGTGGGCACTATGGGAATGGGATGAGGGCGCGGGGGCCCCAGAGAAGCTTTAGGACTTGAGCCCCCAGTTGGGGAGTTGGGGAGCCAGTCACAGTCCATGGCATGAAGAGTTTACTTTTGCCATAATCTGGGGATCTCTAATAGATGCGGCTGAACAGTGAAATGAGCCCGCTTTTCAGGTGCTTTTGTTGTCTGCACTCGTCACTTGAAAGATAGCAAAGAGCTGACAGCCAAAGAAGATGACGAAAGCCGAAGTCGATCAACGGCCAGTCAAGGTCATGGGCGAGTGAGTGAACCGAAAGCGAGAAAGGTATGTATGCACAATGCGATAAGCTCCGTCTTGCGCACACTGTGTGACAAAAGAAAGTGCAAAGCGTGATCTGTTGGCATCGCCTTGCCGTCTGGCAGATCGGTGCTGGGTTACTTTATTTGCGCAGTGTGCAGCTCTCTGCACAGCTCTCAATGCAGTCATCACACTCCCTCGCTCGCTCGCTCTCTCTCTCTTTGTGTTTGGGCTCTCTTTGTTTTACAGCTACTCCTCCTATTGGAATAGCGCATTTAGATGTGGACGTAGACGTCTGCTCCATGGATAGATAACATTCAAAGTTCAACTGTAAATGAATACATTTGCCAAGTTACAAATTGGGTAAGCAAATTAGCACGTACATTGGTTCAAGGCCCGCACCTGCACTTAATTCTCAGCCGCCCACACCGTAAATCAACCCGTTGCACATTCCTCTCGAAATATGCTAATTCCTGTCTAAGCAATATTCGCAATTGATTGAGCGAAAGAGGAGGAGATTAACTTGAGTTTGGACAGATATAGATCTCTCGGGTGGGGGGTGTGACAATGTTCCCCACAGACAATGAGTGGATCCATCGATGACAATCCCTTGTATAATTAGCATAGATGAGTGAACGGGTCTACGTATGTAAATATTTTTCATTCTATAAATTTGTGACCTAGTCGGCGGAGTCACGCCTTATTTTTGGCATAAACAAACCTTAGATTTGTGCGCGGGGCAGGGAGGGAAACCCATAGAAAATCAAAATGAAAACTCAAGCTGCCACAATTGTAAATGGTCAGCTAATTGCCCAAACGAGTCCAACAACGGACGCGGTGGAATGAGACGGACAGAAGTATGCCAAAGTATTTTACACAGATACACGAAAAGAAAACAAGAGATGGCGTGATGGGGGAGGGGATGGGAAATGGGTGGGTGGCGAAACCGAGCAGGGGGAAATTGTGTCTGCATGGGCTTTTCCCACACGGAACTTTGCCCACGCGCGCGCCACACACACACACAAAATTTGTTACGAAATGGAACATCCAAATAAACAGCATTCCGTGTGGGCAGTTTTTCTCATTTCACGATCCATTTGGAGGCCCGCTATCAGAGGCAGGCAGGCAGCCAGCTAGCCAGCCAGTGATAACGATCTGCAAAGCAAATAGACCGCAAACGATAAGATATATGTATGTATGTATGTACACTTTTCTTAGCTCGAGGCTGAACAGAATCGCTTGTCTGTCTGTCAGTGTCTTTGGGTGCAGAGAAAATTGTGCAATTTCTGTGCAATCTTTTGGCATGGGGCAGCTCAGCGGCCAGGCCACAGTCAAGTCAATCAACTGTAATCGGAATGTGAATGGAAATGGAATTTGAAACCGAATTCGAAGAGGTTGCGGCAAAGAAAACGGAGAAGCACAAGCCGCAGAACATCCGTACAACAAATCAATGCGGGCCAGGGCTAAAGTGGACTCAAGTCATAGACCAAGAGCCACCTCCACCAATTGGGCAAAGCACTCGTCTGGCATTCCATTTCCTCTTTGGCGTTTGTTCTTATATTTTTTTTGTTCTTTCTTTTTTTTTTGCATAAATCTATAATGCGATTTAAAATGCAACTGTCGCAGATAATGGCATTGTCCACGGTTCTCAACAATCAATGCAGCTTAATGGGCATGGGCAGGAGAGTATGATACAACATTTCAAAAAAGCAACTAACGAACTTAGTTTAAGTTTCCACTTAAGTTTCTCCTCTGGTAAAAATATTTATGATTAAAAATATATATTAAGTTCCTTTTTTTCATTTGGGTCTCCACCATATGCTAATAATGATTAGGTTTCTGCCCCAAATATACTCCCCACCATTCAGTTTAAGCTATTTCCCTTAATATGTATTTTGAATACAACAAATAACGAATAAACAATAATAAATATCATTCTATAAACAATTCATTTAATTATTGCCACGTTTTTCTGAAACGGAAGTAATTTTCTAAATATTTTTGGTTTTTCCACATAAATGTTTACAAACAGAAGCGAAAGATGAAACGATTTCCTTAGATATTTGCCTGTTTCCACTCTGGTTTGTGTATGGCATAATCAAGTAGACATTGAAATCAAGGCCAATTACAACGAACAATCATTTGAAGCTATAATCGAAGTCTGTTCGAACAGAAGCCCCAATTTCCACCCACAGTAGAGCCCAGAATGTGAGTTTTTAGATGCTATTCTCTCTCGGATTGATTGACATTATCCTTCTTCTGATTAGCCAAAGATTATGCCCGGCTGCAGACGTTTCTGTCGAATCTCTCGTCGCTGGTACTGCAGCAATAGCCCGACTAGCAGTTGTGGGCCCTATCGTGGTCCCTGCTCTGGACCATGTGGTGGTCCTTGTTATGGTTCCAGCTGTGGAACCTGCTGTGGTAACTGCTCCTGCCAATGTGTGATGTGCTCTAGTGGCCTCGCAACATGTGGTCAGCCCTGTGGCAGATCCTGCTTGCCCCGAAGGTGCTGCATTTGATAGATTTATTGGCAATTTTTGTGGCGATTGGACTTTACTGTGTGTGGTAGTTGGGATTCTTAAAAACTTTATGTATGTGAAATAAGTGAAAAATTGTGAATTATCTTTTTGGGTTGGGGGCGGATTTAATGGAAGTTTGACTGGCTTTTGGCTAAAAATAAACATCCTACTCATCCATGCGGGTACAGAGGGGGGGGAGGCTTTACGCTCGACTTGCCATTGCCTGCAATTTCGTTTAGCTACCGCCTGTAATGGAAATCCCTCTCGCCATACATGAATGGGTCTTGGTACAGTGTAAACGTAGAAGGAGAGGAGAGTAAATTCGATTACGGGCATAAACGATTAATTTTATTACATTTAGCTCGGTCTCTTGTTTTATAAACTAATTAAAGCACACAGAGTGGACAGCTCCAGCTCACTTTGACCCTGTTGCCCCATTTGGCCCCCCCAGCCATTGCCCGGCTTGAACGGCTTGAACGACTTCAAAGCTAGACAAAACAACAGACAAAAAAGGGTTAATTGTCTATTCCATCCTCTCTCTCTTTGTCTCCCTCTCTCTCTTTATAGTCCCTGGCATAAATCCTTCTGCACGCCCACTCTTTCTTTCTTTACGCTCTCGTGGTCGCACTGGAGGTTGCAGTTAGTTGTTCCAATTTCTATACTCTTGCAGTGGGGTACTCTGATTTGTATCAGATGTTTGCAGCAGCAGAAACTAGTCCCTCATGTTCGATGCGATATGGCTCTAAGGATAGTTGGACATTGAATTTTCCAGGGTATTTACAACACAATAATCGACCTCACGAGCATGGACTTTCTTTCTGTTTTCTCTCTGTTTTCCATTTGCTTCCTTGGTTTTGGGGACAAGTGAGCAATGTTTTGTAGGCCGAAATTACTCCGTGGCCCTTATTTCGGTTCCCTTTGTTCTCTTTCTCTTTGCCTTTATTGTTGTCATGTTGTGGGTGGTTTGCTTCTTTTTATGCTCTCTTTCTATGTTGTGCGTGTAACTGTGTGTGTGTGTGAGTGCTTTGCTCTTGTTTTACTTTATTTTTTCATGTCACGCCTCATTTAGCTTTTCACAACATTTCCACCAACCGAGCACAAGCAACCGCCAACGTGTGTCGCACTCACTCAGAAATAGTATCTGAGAATCTGGAGCACTGCTTCCTAATACTCTTCACACGCCTCACTCAAAATTAACCAAATGAAACTAGGGTATGTGTCCGTGTGTTTGGGAGCGTATCAAAGAGCTAGATCAAACTGGAGGAATGTTCCATTTGGGCCTCCAAATATGTTCAGCTAATTGAATTTAATGGAAGGTCAAAGGAAGTTATCAAGAAAACAATATGTAATAAGTAGAAATGTGTCGGCAGTCGATAGACCATCTTTCAGAGCAGAGCTGGGCACCCTTTTGCTCTTCAGCTCCCAACCAATTAATAAATACGAGCATGCACATAGACACATTTTGTTTACCTGTTTAATTCTATACTAATTCCACTTTTGATTTATTCTAACTGATATAAATAATGTCAAACGTTTAATTTGATGCGAATTCCGATAGAGAAAATAATCTATGCAATTATTTGAAAGTGAAATTTTCTATTATCAAGTGACACGCACACTCTCAAACGATCTATTTATTGCTTGTTTATAGATGTACCTACATTTCTATACTGGGTGTAGGTGTTGGAATTCCAACGCTCGACTTGTGGCGGCTTGGCTTGATTCTACATTGCGATGGCGCCTTCGGCTTAGCACCTGCTCTTCGTGTGAGCCGAGGGCCCCACTCTCGTTGCCTCTCACCTCTCCACCCGCTAAGACTGTCTCTTTCTGGCCCGTGGGGATGGCTGCTGAGCAGCAGCCGCCGTTTTTCAAATGCTAAAATTGGCGATTAGTCAAAATGATGTCACCGAGTTATTTTGATTGTTTTTTTTTTTTTTACTATTTGTATATATTTATTTTGCTTGACTTTTGCATTTTGGCGACATCTTGCCCATAAATTCCATATGATTGTTTTCCTTTTCGATAGTGACAAATAGATATTGTCGCTCAAGGTGAGGAAATGCGCTTTGCTGCCGATAAGGGGCTGGAATGTGTCGATGGGTTTCCCATCGGACGGCTGGTCCCCATTACAAATGACATTTCATCCGCAACTGTCTGACGAAATCGAATTATTTATCATACTCTCTCTTTCAGGGGGTTCCACGTTTCTGTTCAGAAGTTTGAAACGGCAGAGAAGGTACGAGAACACACAAATCGGACAGCATCAGAATTTTTAGTGATTAAACTGCTGTGGAATGCTTATGGTGCGGAAAAAATTCTGGATACCCCGAAATATGAATAAAGTTCCTAGTAGCGATACTGCATAACCTATACTTTGCCAGATAAACATGATTATGCATTCGTACCATACCTAAAAATAATCTGGTTCAGCTATTAACAGAAAAATTTCCCAATTTCCCGCCACTGTAATCATAGGAAGGATATGTGTAGAAAGATACGATATTCTGCAAGGGTATTTCCAGGTTCGACAAACCGAATCGGTCCTATCTTTCTAGCCTAATTAATCACCAGACTGACAGTCTGCCATATGGCAACGGGGGCTGATCTAATCTGATCTAATCGCCTTTGAAAATCATTCGTTCCTAATGAAAATTTCGCAGAATTAAGTTAAAATTCAATTGAACTCACCGCCCCTACCCTCACTGGAGAAACCCCATTGAATAATGGACACGATGGAGAGGCAGGGGCAGGCTCCACGGGGCGTGGCATGACAATTTATCTGGTCAAAATTTTTCTGAACGATTTCCAGAGAAAAGCAACTGCACAGATAGTATGGTGGGAGGGGAGGGTGGACGCGTGTGGGGACTGTTTTTTTTATGAATGAACATTTTCGCTGCGACGCGTCGCACACAATAACGGGAAAACTCTACTACGCAGGCGACGTCAAAATAGAATCGAAAATTGAGCAATTTTAGCTGCATGAAGCCCGCGGGGGGTTTTTGACCATATTGCTATTACTGTTATTGTATTTTCTGTTATTTGTTGTTTACCTTTTGTAATTAGCAACGTTTCCTATGCGTCACTTTTTGCCCTGCGCCTCGTCGATGGAGTTGCGGCAGAACTGCTTCTTCTTCTTCACTTCTTGTAACTAACTGTTCTTTCTCTCGCTCTCTTATTTTTTTACGATTTAATTTTCACCTGCTGTTCGGTCTGCAAAAATTTCACTTGTCAGAGAGGCTGCGCCCTTTGGCCCTTTGTACAAATATGTTAAGCCAATAAACTTCTTTTAACACGCACACACACACGCGCGCGGTGGCAGCAGAGCCGAGTTTTAATCCGCGCTGGAACAAATATACACTCTCGGATGAGAGAAGAAAGGGAGAGAGGGGGCAGATAAACGTTCGCACGAAAATTGACGTTGACGTGTTGGAGCCAGCGAATATCTTATCAACGAATTTTGTTTACCAAGTCTTGGTAAAAAACATCGCGCCCGCTCGCTCTCTTGGTTGTGCCACTAGTGTGACTGCGTACTTATCGACAAAATATACCGTCTGACCCTCATAAATATACGCAAATGTAACTTTTCTTTTTCAGAATATACAGTAAATATACCGAGGAAAATCATATTCCCCGATTTTGATATTCCTTATAATATTACTAGCTAGTTGGCCCTCTCAGCCCTAAACAAATAATTTTATCCGATAGATACATACATTTTCTACAAGATTGGCAAGTTTTCAGGAGTTCTTTTTATTGCATTGTTTACATAAAAAGGTTCAATCAAAAACGCCCAAAGCATAAAACGTAAATGTTGACTAAATGTGACGTCAGTGTTGCTGGTCAACCAAGTTTCGTCTATGCGTATGTACTTTTGTATACCTTATTTCTTTTAATTGATGTTAAATGTTTTGTTCCAAGCTCCATTTAGCTCCATTATTTATGATTTTATCCTAGATTGACATGTTTTTTACCTATTAATGCACATGTTTGTGTTTTATATATACATTTATCCCGGTTCTGATACCTATTATTGGAACCCGTGAGCTGCAAAATTTCGTTAATATCTTTAAAACAGAGATTGAGTAGTTTCTGCATCAATTATAGCATGAAATTACAAACAATATCTCTATTCTATAATTTCCAGTTTCCCAAGGTACTCAGACTTGTTGATCATTTCGTGCCAAAGTTGCACAACAATGCTGCCTCTTCATTTCCCCATGTTGCTGAATTTTTTCACATACAAATCGAATGTATATACGTTCCCGTAATATATATACATGTGGCTCACACCACGAAAAGGAGGGCAAAGTCACCACGAAAACGCTCTCTTCACCACGGAAAAGAGAGAACATTTTGAAAAACCACCACGAATTAAGAGCGAAAAAATGTCAGTATTTTTTGTGCTCTAAATGAGTTTGGCGATCATTTTCAAAAGTATATACATATATGGAAAAATAAATATTTCACTTGATTTGTTTTGTCGAGTGTGACTGGAACCATATGCCGTAAATATACCGAGGAAAAACATATTCCCCGATTTTGATATTCGATTTATAATTACCAGCTAGTTAGGACTCTTACCACTGAACATATCATTTTATTAGGTAGATGAATTAGTTTTCTATAATCTAGCTTATTTTAAGGACTCTCATGTGAGCTTTTTAGGCTTTGTTTTTGTCCATACCTTGCCATTTAACGCTAACCCAACTCATTTTTGCGTTTAAAAATTTTGACAGTTTGAACCATTTGGCGGTACCAACCTCTTATTTTGATACAAGCCTATGTTCTTTACTATACCTTAAAAAACTATATTTAAATTGATTATACATATATAACGTTATATACCGTTAGCATTTTGTTTTGCTACTGACCGCGGATCTATGAAATCAATAAAGGATATCGCTTAACCCTCAGATATATACGGAATGTTGCTGAAATTTGTTCCATACAAAGATAATTTCAAAACATAGAGACTAGTTAATAGATGATGTGACATATATCAACGGGATCTTGTATGCCAAGCTTCACCCTGGTTGCACCACATTTATGATCGATTAGTAATCGACATTCACAGAAATGAGCGGGAAAAATTAATTTGAAATGTGTACAAGCAAATGGTTCTCACAGCTCCTTAAAAAGATTTTATTGTGGCCTAGCTCTGTTTAAATACTACTCGGCCTTGAGACGTGGGTTGGACCCCGACCCCGTGCCCACCGGTGCCACATCAGTCGGGTTTCGGCGCTGCTGGCGCACCCGCTCCCTGATCTGGGCCGTCTTCACTACGATCATCAGTTGTGTGGAATTATAAAGCCATGTGCCCTAAAAATATTCTCTATATTAGACATTGCGTGTTTTGCCAGTACGCCACTGCACTCACAATCAGCAGCATGCAGTTCAGCAATATGGGAATGGAGAACACCGTCGAAATGAACAGGCCGTTGCTGTCAAAGTACTGCTGTCTGGAGAAGGAACTCCAGTTCTGGGCCGCATACTCATTGATGCTTTCGCTGAAATAGACCGCCGATACTGGAAAAGAAGGCAGAGTGTAAACATTAATCAGATTGCGTGGGCGACGTGTACATCACAACGCACAGGGAAATTTCTACGTACACAGTACCAGGAAGAGGACAACTTGCATATTTGTATGGTTCCTGCTGAGTAGGGCCGTCGTGGTCGTGAGCAGGTGCAGCACAATTAGTCCAAGCAGCCACGGATCTTTCCAGTCGATCTGAAACAGCAAATATATATTCAACCCAAAGTGTAGGCAAGTTCTGGGCGGCAGGAAAGCCAACCACAGAATCGTACTCACGCTCAATAAGAATTCCCAGTAGCCTGTGATTTCGCTAACTTCGATTTGTCCTGGGTGCATTTTGGCGTTTGGACTGCGTTAATTTTTCGTGTTATGTGTCCAAAAAAAGGTTTATTTTATTCTGGAGGAGGCAGGCAGAGTCAAAACAAATACAAAGTGACATTCTCACGGAAGCGCCTCTGACACTACACTTTCAGGCCGACCAAGTAGTCGTTTATCGATGGTTGCAATAAAAGTACACCAAATGCGCTACGTTTTCTAGAATAGCGGCAACAATTAATTTTAAAAGGACGATATACGTGTTTCCGCCCCAATTCCGTTGCAGCAACCAACAATTGATGGAGAAAAATAATTAATTTATTGTAATTCTTTTGAGAAGGACAATCGATAGTTACCGCAGCCCTGGCGAGCTGTGTCATGCAGTCTGACCGTCGCGTACAACGCTTTCACTGACTCAGTAGACACAACATTAATAAATCGGAAAATATCACAAAGAATTCGTTGAAAAATAATCAAAATTGTCGTGAAAATCGGGCGAAGTATCGCTGTAAGCTAATGTGCCGTTCAGACAACGAGTGAGAATCCAGTTCAGAGAAAAAAAAGATACGGGAACAACGACAGGCAGCAAACAAAAGCAGCGAGGCGAGTGCGAGTGCGTTCAGCCACTTCACTCGGATGTGGCACAGTCTACAAAATTTCTTGTGCATCACGTTCTGTGGCAGCCGCCGTCGGGCAGCAGCAGTGACAGTGGTAATTTGTGCGACGTTGATTTTGTAAGCTCCTAAAGCGCAGACGACATTTTTTGTCCGTCTAAAGAGTTGCTCCATTGATTGCATTTGCGGACTGGGCTATTGGCACCTCGATGTGTGCTTGTTGCGGTTGAAAGGTCACTCAGTAACAACGACACGTAACGCCGAGAGGTTCAAGGACACGCGGCGCAGCTTTCGCGCAGAGTGTCGACGGCCTCGAAACAGCCGCAGCGCCCGCGAAAAGCGGAAGCCGAAGCCCCACGCCCGTTGGAGGCTGAGAAGTTGCTTCAGGCATTCGAATCGGGTATCCATCTGGACAAAGGCACATACGAGGTTCCAGTTCACAGCCGCGGCCATGGCTGTCAAGCAGAACAACAGCGAGTCCAACGACGCCACCGATGGGGTCAACTCTGCCTCCGGCGGTGCCTCAAACGGCGCCATGCCACCCAATGGTAAGCAACCAACAGCCAACAACATAAAGATCTCCGACGATGATGGCGGCGCCGAGAGCATGGACACGAATGGCACCAACCCCGACGAAGCTAGTGATGTTGGCGGCCAAACACTGAACACGCTCACAAAGCGGGACATACAGGCGGTGCTGAACACTCTGCAGAGTCTCAATCAGGCGGATCAGGCGCACAGTGTGCTGACATTCTACGAGCGGATGATCTTTGAGCTGGCTCGCATGAAGCCGGGCACCACGAGCGAGGATCTAGTGCGCTTCAAAGAGGAGGCGGTGAAATTTGGCAATATCCTTGCCAGAGCAAGTGAGAAGAACTACCTCATGTTCTTCCTTCGCGTCGTCTACGAACTGATCACAAAGTCCGGCGAGGCGGGCCCCTCCTATGCCGTGGCCGTTGTCTTTCAGTTGTTCAAGCCTCCCCTCATCAGCGAGGCCGTGCAATCGCTGCTGGACACGAATGTCGAGGACGCGAGCATACGCAAGACGGTGGTCCTGCTTTGCGAATGGATCTGTGTGTGCAACTTCTGTCCGAACCTCAATCTCTGGGTGATGGCCCTGCTGACAGGCTTGCGCGATCAGGACAAGCGTGTGCTCCTCGACGACATTGCATTGGACTCCATCGAAAAGCTATTCAAAGTGCTAATACTACCCGCCATGCGGCCAAAGGCAGCTCCGATAGTGTTTCACATGCTGTCAACCATCAATCAGACACCAGAAATATTCCGCAAGGTAATGTTCTCATGGATCAAAGATAGACACATCCTTTCACCCGCTGGTCTTACCCTCTCCTGTAGATATTGCCACGCGTACCCAAGGTGCTGAACTGTCTGAAGCAGCAGCAATTAAACAACACGGACGAGTTCAACGTGGAGACGCGCCAGTGCATGCAGCAGTTGGTGGACCTAACCAGTGCCCTGATGCTGCGATTCAACGAAAACAGCGATCTCTATGCAAACGTCAGGGTGGCCATGCAAATGTATGAGCCGTCGCCAAATTGCGGAGCTATGGCCCGGGCCATGCACGAGAACGCCCTGCCCCCGGGACGGCGCAATGCCAGGGTGGGACTGGTGAATCTAGGCAACACCTGCTACATGAACAGCGTACTCCAGGCCCTGGCCATGACCAGCGAGTAAGTGCATCTAGAAATGTATGTTCCCAGCGCTTCTGTTGACCGTTTCTTCCACTCAGTTTCAGCCGCCAGATACTGCTGGTGCAGAGCGATTCGCTGCTGCTGCTGAAGGTGCAGCAACAGATTGCCCTAATGCATCACTCGATGCGGTATGAGCTGACGCCGACGCGAGTTCTGAATGCGACCAGACCGCCTGGCTTCACTCCGGGCCTGCAGCAGGACAGCTCCGAGTTCCTAGGCTATCTGCTCGACCTGCTGCACGAGCAAGAGATCAACAAAGATGGAGGCCACAGTCAGCATGGCAAGAACGTCGATGTCCCTGGCGAGCTGAGCGATGAGATTCTGTCCAGCGGGGTCATACCCTACAACAGCAATGACCGCGAGATCGCTGGCAGCAGCAGCAGTAGCAGCAGCACCAGTGCCAGTCACAAGCCCACTTCGACACCCACCAAAGGCACAAATAGTACACAGCCACAGCAACAACAGCAGCCAAAGAAGCCAACATCAACCATTGACAAGACGTTCACCGGCAAACTGTCGACGACGTACAATTGTTTGGACTGCAGCTGGGAGAGCCACATCGAGGACAGCTTCCGTGAGCTGCAGCTCTCGTTTCCGGATGACAAGGACGACTGCAGTGTCAGCAACTATTCGGTTCAAGACCTGATCGAGTACTACTGCTCGCCGGAAAAGCTGGACGGTGAAAACCAATATTTTTGTCCCCGCTGCAAGAAGCTCTGCGATGCCGATCGCCGCATCGGGGTGACAGAGGCGCCGCGCAATCTCGTCCTAACCCTCAAGCAGTTCAAGTACGATCAGAAGTACCATTTTCGCACCAAGCTAATGCACAAGGTGTTCCACGATGAGAGTGTGAGTATACGCAGGTGGATGTGGGGATGTCACGAGTGTATATTAATTTTCGTTGGCCTCCACAGCTCGTGGTTAAGATATGCTCATCCGATTCGCTGCAGGAGCAGTCGGCCGTGTACTATGAGATGTACGCAGGCGTCGTGCACTCGGGCTATCACATGGACTCTGGCCATTACTTCACATTTGCTGCTGACCAGTCGAGGAACTGGTATAAGTTCAACGACAGCTTTGTGACCCATTCGCAGTCCGAGGAAATGCACAACCTCACCTCGCCCAACACCCCCTACATACTCTTCTACAAAATGTGCGGACGCTCGCATGAGTCCGGCCTGGCTGGCACCGAAACGGTGTCAGTGCCCCAAGTCCCACCGCTCACCCTCCAGGAGCTGCCGAGCTCACTGCGCGACTATGTGAATAAGGAAAACCGGGCGTATAGCGAGGAGTTGCGCTCACAGCGATTTCAGGGCAGCAACGGTGCCAACGGCCATGGATTTGTGACGCGCAACGGCTATGATGGCGACGACGAGGATGATCGGGCCCCACCGCCCTCTGGCGGTTGTGGAGGCAACGATCTGGGCATGAATGTGAATCGCTTTGTCTACTGAGGAGGTGCCAACGGCAGCGCGGCAGCTGGAGTCGGGGAGGTGCAGGCAGGCAACTAGAGCGGAAACATATATATGTCTAATTTATAATCACGCGCATGCTAAACTTAATGTTATATATATATATATATATTCCCAGTACATATTTTGATATATACCGATGTATATATCTTGCCACAGATTCGCTATAACAGTTAGGTGTGTGTGTGTGTGTGTGTGTTTGTATGTGTATTTATGTGTATGTGTGTGCGTGGAAAGCGGTATAAGCTTTCTTACTCCCCCCTCGGTCGCTCTGGCAGCCTGCGATCCCATTGTTGTCCATGTTCCTTAACCCGCAGATGCGGACGCCCTCAAACGAACCCTCCATCCCCGACGACACACACAAAACTACTGAGAATGTACGAGAAGTATTTCCATTTACAAAATTGTTATGATTTTTTTGTTTTTGTTAACACAAACCTAGCTTTAGGACGAGCATATACATATGCGTACGCGAAGAACCGAACATATAAAAAATACACAGATAACTATGAAATCCATCTGAATTAGCCAGAGATGAATTATAACCAAAACCCAATATCAAAGTTCCATCTCTGGCCTGCAAATCTGTAAACGAAACCAATCTGTATGACCATTTCCTTAGTTTTGATGTATCTCGAGTTGGAATTGAGTGGTTGGAAATGATCCGAATGGAGGGGCTGCGGCTGACTATCAGCTACAGCCTGAAGGACTTGTATAAATAGTTACGCGAGAGTGCATTCAAAACCTATCCAAATTCTATTACCATTTGTTCTTTGAATTTGAAACGAATTTTTCATAGATACATGCATACATACATATATCTCCTTAAGATCTGGTGAGCAGAGAAATGCGATTTTAGTTTCTTTGAATATTATTGCAATTAAATTGGGATAATTTCAATGACGATAACCTAAATCTCTACTATACTATATGTTATAAGTGTATTAATAAAAAACAAAAAAGAAAACCAAAAAAAAGTAAACGAAAACAATTATTTCATCTTAAAAAAGATAAAACTATTTAACGCTTTGGTAGGTGGAAAGCTACTTGCTTACCTACAATGAATACTTACCATTAGAGCTGTCAAACGATTGATAGTTGAGCCATCGATAGTTTTGAAAAAAACAATCGATACTATCGTGATAGTATCGGGCTCAAATATGCTATTAAACGCTATTTTTTAAGCGAAATAATACAAAGATTGTTCAAAATTAAACGGTTTATTCATACTCTCAAAATATCAGTCTCAAAACAATATAAAATAATTCATAGTTTTTTTGTTATCCTTATTTACGAAGTTACTAAGTGTTGTAATCGGTAATCCACCAATTTTTTTTGATAAACAATAGGTTATCAACAATTTTCGGTTTCAGCGCGGATCTACGATCCGAAATAATTTGTCCGGCCTTTGAGAACATCCGCTCGGACTCCGTCGAGGTTGCGGGAACACACAGAGCTTTCCTTGCCACATTGGCTAGAGCTGGCATGTCACTTTCATTGCTCTGAAAAAAAACGTATATAAACAAATAAGTTTGATATACAAAAATGTAATTATCACCACTTACCTTCCAATACTCTAATGTGTTGCAATCATTTCCGGTATTCATTTTTTCAAAATATTGTCGAAGAACCACAATTGCGTTGACTCTATTGTTTCTTTTCTTCTTTTCTATTTTGGTTTTATAAACTTAAGCAGAGTTTGCTCGTGTGAGACTTGTACTGGCTGTTCTGCTTCCGGTTCTTCAGGTTGTTCTCCGTTGTAATTAGTCAACATGTTTTCCAACAAAACGGCGCCTTGATCAGCATTGATCTGTAAACGAAATCCTTCTTTTTTGTATCGTGGATCCATAATGATGGAAAGTCAAGTGTTTGAACGCTCTTCAAATGGGAAAAGCCAATCCAAACATATCAAAAGCGCAGCAACTGTAGCTCGATACTATCATGATAGTCGCAAAACCATCGATAGTAGCGGCTAGCAGCAAAACATCGATACTATCGATAGTGCCCTCGATGGTTTGACACCTCTAGTATATTATAGTGTTTTGGGGGCTCGAATCCACAACGTTGGGGCCCAGCAAGTCAATCGTGTGAGAGAGAATACGCGCGCCGCACAATAAACATTGCAAATACCGTACAAAACATCTTCGCCTCCCGCGCTTATAATTACTTTTATGGCGCATCAGCAGCAACAAAGACTACGCCTCATCACGGCCACAGCCATCAAAAGCCTTCAGCAGGAAAGCCGCCGCAACTATATTAGCAGCTAACATTGGCAAACATTATTACGTTAAACAAATATTTTGCCACCATTTTGCATCGTCTCATTGATTTATTGGATCAAGCAGAGGAAGTACCGCAAGATATTGCCTATTGCCAGCTGTTGAGAGAGCAGAGGTTCACAGAAAGAGAAAGAGCAAGAGAGAGAGAGAGAGAGGGAGGAAAGTGAATTTTTAGCCGGTCAACGTCCTGCGGTGTGGTGAAGGTGAGAGAAAGGACATTGCGCCTACCGGCTTCCCTCTCCCACGCACACAAACACTCTCACTTAGACACGCTCTTTGGTCTAAAGTGCTTCCCACCACATTGAGGCAAAAACAAAGTTCTTCAAGATAAGAGAAAACCGGTAAACAACCCAAATAGCGTAATCGGAGGCCGCCGCCCCCCGCAACTGCTACCAGCAACCAGTAAGCACTTAATCCCCCCGCGAAGCAGCAACACACACACGCAAAATGCGCCTGTTCCCGGTACGCCTCTCGGCCGCCTCGTCCTCGATGGCTAGCCTGGCCAAAATGCTCGACTTCTACTCGGGCTTCAACCCGTCGCCGCTATCCATCAAACAGTTTATGGACTTTGGTGAGTGTTATTAAATATTAATTATTCAATGTGATTTTTACGGGCTATACATTGACACGTTCCGCTTTGATCTTATCCGATTTCCTTTCCCTATTGCATAATCGATGGGCTACTGCTCATAAATAGAAAATGTGTATTGATGTAGAAAATGCGCTGAGAATCAAAAAGAATGTCAATCGGTAGATTGCGCCAGAATAAAATATAGTATTTCCTTTAGCAGGAAATTATTTCTCACAAATAAAATTTCGCCTATAGACGTCTAGAAACTAAAAGATTTTCCCCTTAGAAGTTTGACGCTATACGGCTAAACTGCGCAACATTCCCGTTATCTAATGCCCAATTGAATTGTCAATTAAGCAGCTTTTTATTCTGACCCAGCAAACTGTTGATTGTGTCGGGGGGAGAGCGACCAGAGAAGGAGGCGCTCAAACAATTGAATGCTCAGTTCTGTTCAATTCAACTCGGCTTAGTATATATGTATGTATCTCCCCCTCGCCCCCACGCCCGCTGCCTGTTGAACGGAACGGAAGTTAGAATGAGACAAGTTGCTGTCTCTGAATATATAAACATGTTTTGGCAATGAAATTCTATATGAGCGCTGGGAAAACGGCTTTTCTGCCCCCACAAAATGGATGGCACGTGGCCTTCAATGACGTTTCAATGTCAGCCGGCTCTGCTGTCCCTAAACAATATGGTTACTCCCTTCTAAGTGTCACCATAAACCTGCCCCAATAAGCGACACAACCCAGAAAGCGCTCGAACACACAGATACACACACACACACACTGCGACAGAGCCAGCAGCTGGAGTGTCTCATACCATTCAGGTCTTGTTTGCTCGCGTGCTTGAGCTTCTTTCCACAATGTTCTTGGGGCCTGCTGGCTGCCGGCCCGGCTGCAGCCTCGACATAAATGGCAACTGACTTGCACAGAAACAAAAGTCAAGCCAAGTGGCTGGAAACTGAAAATAGCAAGATGGAAGCAGGGCCTTCCTGTTCCTGGAGAATGATGCTTAAAATACCCTTGCAGATGGTAGGACTTGAACGATATTCATACTTACATATGCTTAGAAATGCAACAAACAACAAACATACATAGTTAGCCGATTTTAATCAGATCAAAGGATATTTAACGTCCGTTTAAATTTTGTATTCTCCCTTGCTGCAAAAATTAAGGGGTTGCAAAATGTACTCTCTGGAACGTTCTGGAAAAATGATATTACCTTCGCTCTGCAAGGGTATACAAACAGCTTTTGACGGGCCGAGGGCTTGGGTTGGGTTGGGTTCAAGATACTCTGCTATTATCATCTATATTTAGACTGAAACAAGAGGCTTTTTGTGTTATCTCTTTTCGCATGCATGCGCTGGTATTCTTCAAAATTCTTTATTTGGATTAAATCACTTCAATGCAGGCATTCCATTCTTTCATCTTTCATAAATTATTCATTCCTTGTACAAATAAGGTGGGCTAACAGTACACATGTTTGTACAGACCCTTTAACTAGTAAAATAAATAACTAATAAAGCGCCTGCCCCATGGTTGAACTTTGATGTCAGGCGACAGATAAGGTTTGTTTTTGTTTCCATTTGTTTTTGTCGTCAACTGTACCCCGTATTTAATTGTGGTGTACTTTAGTGGTTTTACTGCCAGTCCAGTCCCATGCCCCCCCATATACACTGGCTCATAAAATTTGAGTAATTTGTGTTTATATCTATAGATTGGGCGGCATTGTTATTAGTTTATACTTGAATCACTCTGCTTGTCAATCCCAATAACATCCCAATACATGCACGTATGCGTACGTATGTATGTTTGATTCTGGTGAGCCATCGATTAGCACGATTAGTCCCCCGGCTCTGTTTCGATTTTCACAAACCTGATCTAAGTGTACTGAATCAGGTACGATCTTATGTGCTTAATTTGGCCAAGGGTACGAAAATTCACGTCTGCTGACGGGCCCCATTTACCCTCCCCCTTTTTTAGAGGGGGGGCGTCTGCTATCGCAAAATGTTCATGGGGAGAATTAAAAGTATTTTTTGTGGCTAATATCGGAATATCTATCAATGGAAAATCTAAACAAAAACATAAGTATATTATAATGGGGGGCCTGATTTGGGACTCAGGGTGCTATATATTGGCACCGCTCAAGTTGATCATGTGCCAATTCGGTGCGTGGGCAACACAACATTCGTTTTTCTTGAACAAAATATAATATATTTTATATTTTTTGTCATGTGCACAAACGTATAGGAGGAATATTGTACAATGGAAAAATTCTGATAGATCAGATCATACAGTGACCGTATTGGGCAAAGTCCAGGATGCTGTTGGCTCTTCATAACCCAATCACAATTCGGACTTTGTTTTGGCCAGACAAAGAAACCACACGTCTCTCGGTTAGGACTTTGAACATGTCAGAAAAAACACCAGAAAATATATCAACAGCAGACGTCAACAGTTACCGAAAAAGTGTGCACCACCAAGCGATAATAAAGACGTAGACGGTTCCACACGCGCCGCATTTTCGTCCAGGGCGAATGTGAGTCAAGTATACTCAAAAGTGTGGTATAGAGGACAGAGAGAGGATAGGAGAGGGAACCCGCACAAAATTGATCTAAATTGAATGCAGAATATGATGATGAGTAGGAGGAGCTGATGCAATAGATGAAAGGGATTACCAGGCAAATCAGATGAAAGGAATTTCCCGGCAAACAGCTGTTGAGCTTGATGAAGTGGGAAAGTGAGAGAACGCGGGTCACAGAGAGGGCCAGTGCAAGTGCGAGTGTGTGTCGTCGTCAGCTGCTGCTCTAACATGTTGCTTCCCTTCCTAATGTAATTGCATTTATCGCGTTGATAAAGTGCCAAGGCCACGGTAAGTGGGTGAACACAGGGACAAATTGAATTGCATTCGTTAACGCCATTCCTTTGGTTGCGCTCCGTGCGGAGGACGAGCTACCGTCGTACATAATTTAATGCGCCACTGATGATTGAATTTCAGTAAAGTAAGGAACTTCCAACCGATAATGGGAGATTCAATTTAAACCAATTTTCAATTGAATTTAAAACCCCTGCCCTCAACCCACCCACAGATTAAATGCGTGCTAAGCTTTCAATTTACCGTTGCCAACACGCAAACATTTTTCGAGTGGAAGCTTCTGATTTTTATGGCACTCTGGACTGAGGCCATTATCCAAGTTGCATATATAGTATATGTAAATGATTAATTCGCTTAATACGGTTTCAATTTATCGCCGATGAAAGTGAGTGGGTGAGTGGGGGGCCGGGCCTTATCTTCGCAATTGAAGTGAGTGCCAATGCATCAAAGCGTTAGACGGAGCAGACAACCTGATCGAGACAGCTTTGTCTGGATGTTTATTTGGCTTTGACGACAACAATCAAGAAAGTGGTAGAGAGAGATAGAGATAGCAAGCAAGAAAGAGGCAGAGATATACAAATAGGCAGAACTAAAAAAACAAACAAGCAAGCAAGCAAGAAGGTGAGAGATATAGTGAGGTGCAAACAAACATCTTAGAAAGAGAGCGCTGAAAAATGGCAAACAAAAACAATTCATCGAAAAGCTTTATTTTGAGGTCATATCAGCAATCAGCAACTAGCGGGGCCGACTAGTGGAAGTGAGGGGAATGTGCGCGTGTATTCGCTTACTCTCCATCACAGCTCTGACTCTCTCTCTCTCTCTCTCCCTCTGTCCACCTCTGCCTACGTTTCTGGCAGCTTCTGGCAGGTTCTGTCAATTGAAATCTTGCTTTGTTTTTATTTTTATACTCTCTGAAGAGATTACTATTCATTTGACGCAAAGCAGGAAGGTTTTTATATCATAAAGCTTATGCATATATGTAGATATATTTTGATGTTTACCAAGGGAAAGTACATTCTAAAAGGGTATCAAAAGCGATTTTTTTCAGCCCCGTCCGTCAGGTTATCGCTTCTCTTTCCATATTATTCGGTTTACGATTAATAACTCGTTTATTGATTGATTCTTTTTTGTTAGACCCATTCGTTACAATAGCCTCATAAACGGGGCGGCTCGAGTCTAATTTATGCCTTAGTGTGTACTACATACAATATATCCAATCTATATATGTATACATATATAGTATAGCTTTTGTTTTGTTTTCGCTTCGTGTCTGGAATTTCAATTAACTGCGACTAATTTTCTGAACGTGCCCCTCACTTCCACCCCCTCATCTGGTAATAATCAGTATAAGCTTTGTGGACTCTGGGGCATAATAATCATTAATGAAACAAAAATACCAAATCGCTATACAAATTATGCCCACAGAAATGGGGGCGTGTCTGACTAGCAGCCGGTCAAGGCACCATCGATAATTTGGTTTCTGTTGAACGTTATCAGTCGTCGGTACATACGCCACAATCGGCTGTTTCTTTCGTTTTCTTTTTGTTACGAAATTGTTGACAATGGACAAACAAGCAGAAACAGAAAGATACACACACACTCACACACACACACACACAGAGATAGAGAATTAAAAACAAATATGCACAAAAGCGAACGCAAAAAACTTGACGAGGGCCAAAGTTTTCTGCGGTTCATTTTGTTAATTTCTTTGTCTCAAGAGCTTTGAACTTAGGAGCTGACTCGCCTTTATAAGCATATACTACATACTATATATACATATGTATGTATGTACATACTTGTAGTATATCTGTACCGATTTTGTACGAGTATGTAATATGTATTTAGCTCAAGTACAATACTTCTGAGGACTTTGATAATTTATTCAATTGATTTTAATTCAATTGATTTTAAGTTTAGTTTGTATTTGTATTTTAAGCTGGCTCAAGGATAATCTTTATGTGTGTAGACTTTTGTAATATAAAATACAATATGTACTATGTATGTACTGTATGAACCCTGGAATTTTGTAAGCCAATGTTTTGTTAGTGGTTATGGCTTAATAGTTTGCTTCCATTTTGATAGTTTTGCTGGACCTATAAAACTGCTGAATAATGTGTAACTATGTACTATATTATAGGCTGATTGCTAGTTTCGTTTCGCTGTGATGAGCAGAGGCATGAGTCTGTCATTTGTGAGCTCGTGATCAATGCACATGAAGCGTGGCTGCATTGATAAGCCTTCGCCTACACAAACTTATACTCTGTACCATAGAACTGCACATTACAATTTTCCATTTCTAATCTATATTTATTTATTTAAAATTATCCAAATTAGGTCAAAATGCTTGCGAGAAAAAATCGTTCATATTTCTGCGAAAGGAGCTGCCGGTGCGATTGGCCAATATCATGAAGGAGATTGCCCTGCTGCCGGACAATCTGCTGCATACCAGATCCGTCAGCGAGGTGAGCTCCTGGTATGTGAAGAGCTTCGAGGAGGTGCTGGAGTACGAGAAGGCCGAACCCACACATGACAATTTGCACAAGTGAGTCAGCAGACCTTCAAATCGATACAGGCCAAGATTTTAATGGTGTGACTGCATATTTCAGGTTTGTGCATCATCTGGATCTCATTAGGAATCGGCACAACGATGTGGTGCAGACAATGGCCCAGGGCGTCTTTGAAATGAAGGAGAACGAGGGCGGTGCGGTAGATGCGCCCACCGAGACCTCCATACAGTACTTTCTCGACCGGCTGTACATGTCGCGCATCAGCATCCGGATGCTGATCAATCAGCACAGTGAGTTGTCGAGTAGTCCTCCATCAAGATGATTGATCTAATCAACCATATCCACCCATTTTCGCAGCTCTGCTCTTTGGAGCGAATCCACATTCGGGTGGTCGGCATATCGGCTGCCTGGACCCAGCCTGTGACCTGTCGGACGTTGTGCGCGATGCGTATGAGAACGCCCGCTTCCTCTGTGATCAATACTATCTGACGAGCCCAGCGCTGGAGATCCAGGAGCATAGCAGCGAGCCAGAGGCTAGCCTGCCCATCCGCACTGTCTACGTGCCCTCGCATTTGTATTACATGCTCTTCGAGCTATTCAAGAACTCAATGAGAGCGGTGGTGGAGCATCACAATAATGACAACTGTGACACCCTGCCGCCCCTCAAGGTGGCCATCTGTCGCGGTCAGGAAGACATCTGCGTGAAGATCTCCGATCAGGGCGGCGGCATTCCACGCTCCCAAACGGACCAGCTATTCAAGTACATGTACAGCACGGCTCCGCAGCCATCGAAGTCGGATCTGCACACGGTTCCTTTGGCCGGCTATGGGTACGGTCTACCCATATCGCGGCTCTACGCTCGCTATTTCCATGGCGACATTGTACTGCTCTCGTGCGAGGGCTTTGGCACAGATGCCATCATCTATCTGAAGGTTTGTGAAACATACATACTTCTTCTTTTAAAATAAATACTCATTAGTTATGGTTGCTCCTTACAGGCACTGTCCGATGAGGCCAACGAGCTGCTGCCCATCTTCAACAAGACGAGCTCCAAGTTCTATCGCGCGACGGTGCCCACGGGCGACTGGTCTAATCAGGTAAAAACCGTTAAAAAAAAGAAGAAGACGAGCGCTGTCAGCCAGTAGGCGAGTGAGAATGCCAAAAGAAATCGCCTGGCGGTGTAAAGAGTTTTGCCCCATCCTGCACCAATCCAATCCAAAACCAAACCAAACCAAACCGAACACATCTGCACCCGTAATCGCCTCCAAACCAAAACCCAATCGATTAAGTGAAAAGTGTTTATTTATTCTGTATGTTAATGTTAAATACGACTTTTGTTTTGTATGTGCCACACCAACCAACAACCCCCCTACCCTTCAGCTTTTGTAAATTTTAAACTTTTATCCAGTTGTTGTCATTTAACATTTGACATTCCACAAACATTTTACTCAGTCCGTCGAAGCGGGGCCCAAGTTTTGTTTTATTATGGCGGGGACGATTGGAACGGCGAATATGGCAACATTGGCTTTAATAATTACGTTTTTAGCAATTAAACACGATCTACAAAACATATTTATATATACATATATACCACACACACATCCTCAAACAGCAACAGATGTTTTGAGAAAATTTACGAAAGTAGCTATAATTTTTGGATTTTATTTAGGTTAAAGCTCCAAAGTGCATGCAATAACAAATTACACAATACATTTCTCTTTTTGAGCACACTATTTAAATTTATATGTTAAGTGATGAAAGTTTTAAACAAATAAACTGTTGAAATTATATATACACACACATACGAAAACAAACAACACTGATTTCTCATATTATTGTTTTTATTCAATGTAGTGATTTTAATATGAAGTCAAAAAAAAATGAATGTTTAAAGGGGCAACATAGAATATCTGTATGATTTTATTGTTCCATATTTTTCCATTTTGATTATATTTGGATGACATCTCGAAACTACTACGCATTTTACATGCATTTACCCGATCCAATTTTAATTTACTACAGAGTTTCATTATTTCCTTCAATAACTATTTATTCCCAACTAAAGCCTTTGTTTGCTTCGATTTTGTGTACTGTTCTGATTGTTTTTGGTTTACCTGTACTATACTTATATTTCTGCTCTTAAATGATTTCTTTCTTTTAGAACTTTTCCAATCGTTGGCGTTATATATATGGTTTCTTTATATAAGACTGTTGGGAATTAAACAAAAAATGAACTGTAGAGCACACTTACTTCGTGCGCTTAGAATCAATATTTATTGGCCTTATGAAATTATCTGATTTTCTAGAGCTCGGATATGAATGCCAGACAACTGTCGGCCACCATACCGAAACGCTACAATGACTTTGCCCAGGATGCTTAAGATGATTCCACGCACGCAAAATGCTACATGCTACTCAGGTTAAGGACTAACACATATGACATATGATTCAGGAACAACACAGTTGGATATACAAGGACATGCATAAATAGGTACATACATACATACATACTCGTAGATGTTATCACTAGAGTTAGGCAAAAACATTCCCACACTGCAGCCGCAGCAACAGAAGCGAAAAGCCACCAACCACTAAAAAAAATGCTCGTATTCATGGCAGTAACGTTAGTACAGTAAGTTTTCGTGTTGTTATTGAAACTGATGTTAAATAAATAATGCAAAATTTGTTAAAGATCAACTGGCGATGCGATTGAAGTTTTCTTTTAGGCACTACATTTTATTCTTTACATACACAATAATAATAGTAATAATAATAATAATAATAATATTTTTCTATATTGCATCGATAACATTAAATATTGTTCATTTTGCTGTGCTATACAATAATCGGTTCTCATTCGTTTTGGGCTTCTCTTTACAATTATTTTATACAAGTTCTCACATTTAATTTTAGTTTTAGCATTTTTTTAGAGCTTTTTTTCATAAATTATCACTCGTTAACATTGTTCGATCGACATTCATTTAGACTATGTTTCGATAACAGAAAACAAATTGAATTGGATGATGTTTAAACAAAGTGCATTACGGATTGCTGTTGTTCTTTGTTTTTCCTTTTGATTTGATCTCTCCATCTCAGTTAATAATCATATTTATAATTACAATAATAATAGTGGGGGAATCATCATCATCATCATAATAATATGCAATATAAAATCGACAAAAAATCAATGATAATAAATACAATACAATACAATATATATATATATATAAACAATAATACACATTCAATAATTCTAATTGGAATGCGTGCGAATCGGAGAAACGTTGGGGGGAAAACGTTGAAACGGATAAGGATAACGGATAACGGATAGACATCCATCCCGTGGGATGATCTGAAATTGTTTTCTCAGCTGAAATGGCCTTGATAGCACTTCCTACACATTTACTTCCGCAAGGGATCCAAGCTCTCCAACGAAAAGTCATCGATGTTCAGTTGATTCTGCTGCAAAAAACGGAGACAACTTTCCATATGAATTTCCCATCTTGTTGGGGATAGTCAAGAACTCACCTTAAAGATGGTCGGACCATTGCTCATCTCAAAGGGATCCGAACCGAATAGATCCGTGTTGCCATTCAGCCCATTGCTCGTTGTCACCGAGGTGCTGCGCCTGGGGGCAGCAATCTTTGGCGGCGGCGCCACTGCAATGACAAATTATCCAGTTATAAGTTATTCATTCATTGGTTTAAGGAATAATTCAACCTACATAAAGGCGGCGTTATGTTTAGCTCACTGGAGAAGCCACTGCTATTCATGCTGATGCTGTGGTTGCTGTTGATCAATAAGCTGCTATTGTTAATGTTATTGTTGGTGATATTGCTGTTGCTGTTGGTGTTGTTGTTCTGCAACTTATGATCGTTGTTGTTGAAGAAGAGCTGCTGTCCAAAGCTCTTGGGTGGCTCAAAGCCAAACAGATCGTTGCTGATGGCATTGCGGCCATTGCTGCCATTGCTATCCTGTGTGGTCTCCTCGGCCCGTGGATCGAAATCGCTGTCCGAATCGGAGTTCAGCAGCAGCTCATCCATCTTCTGGCTGTTGCTCTTGCCGCTGATGCTGATCTGGCTCGACAGATTATTCCGCGGCGGCACAATGGGCAAGAAAGAGTTGGGCGACGCGGAGTGGACCGATGCCGTCGTAGAAATGGTGTCAATCAGCAGCTTATCCTCGTCTGCAATTGCACAATTGCACAATCAATTGAAAGAATACCATCGCATTTGATTCAATCTTACCCAGCTTACCGTTGCTTAGAGCCTCGGCGCTAGCATCGATTCCATTCTGCAGCTCATTGGAAGGTGGCGCCTCCAGAATGTCCTTAATGCCCAGTTTAAAGAGCATGGCATCCAGCTCGGCCTTTGGCAATTTTGCGGATAATTCGCTCAGTCGCTCCTTGTACAGGGAAACTGTTTGCTGCAGATGATTGATCTGCTGTTGCGCCTTGCTCAGATTTGTCTTCTCGGTGCTGTCCATGTACTTTCTGCAGACGAAAAAACGAATCTCAGTTCAGTTGAAGCTACATAAATTTTAAATGGGGTGCCTCTTCTCACCTGTAGGCCAAATCGAAGGCTTGGCCAATGGTCAGCGTTATGTCCGAGGCCAATTTGTTGGAGATGAAGACAAAGCACTCGTGAGTCTCCTCGGTTTTGAGGCTGCCGCTGCCATTTGTGTGGCCATTTGTCGTTGTCGTCGTCTCGCCCCCCTCCCTTGTCTTGACCGTCTTGGCAATGAAGCTGAAGAACTTCTTGACACCCTTCTCGTCCGCACAATACGAGATATTGTACAGCGGAAACTGGTGCAGAATCTTGTGGGTGCGCGGCTCCTGGATGGCCACCCCCTTGATGCTGATAGTTATCTCAAGCTTCGTGAACTTCTCCTGGGTGCCCGTGGCCGCCTTCTTCATTTGCTGTGCAAACTGCAGCTTCCGTATGGCTTCCTTGACCACCTCAATGCCCTTGGGCTGGTCCACGCTCAGGTTACCAAAGAACTGCACAAAAAAAAAAGACAGAGAGAGCGAGAGAGATTGAGACAATGAATCGGTGTCAGCTGGAGGTCGTCACACTTGGATCTCTGATCTCACTGCATTTTACACTCACCTTGACTAGATAGACCGCATGTCCGTTGATGAGCTGCTCGGGCGTGTGCAGCCAGTTGCGCTTGCCGTTTTTCGACTCGCTCTTGGAGTCGCCTCCATTGCTGCTGCCGCTGTTGTTGTTGCCGCTGCTGATGTTGCCCTCGTTGGCGGTGTCCTTGTCCTTGTCCTGCTGTTGCTGCTTGCTGCTATTTTGCTTATTCCAGAACTTCAGCTGCGCCATCTTGGCCGCCGTCTTGCTGCCCCCGGTGCTCCCACTGCTGTTTGCTGGCTGATAAGGCATCGTCGTCGTTTTCGTCGTTGGCGTCGTCTTTGTCTTTTGAGGCTGCAATCGGAATTGAAATGAGAGATGAGATTCAATTTGAACTTTGTCCAGCGGGGTTTTTCCCATTCATCCCATCATCCCCGTCTGATTGAAAATACAAATAAATTCCAGCTGTCGCCAGAGCTGGATGCTGGCTGCTGTACTGCTAATTATTGTTATACAACCAACTGAATCTAAATGTATTCTTTTGGCTAATTGCAAATCGTGTTCGCGATACAAAGAGAGAGCAAGAGAGAGAGAGAGGGAGAAGCCCCTAGAGGGGGCTCACTGAGAGGCAGAGAAAGACACGACGGTCAGGGAGCTGGGTCTCAGGTGCAGCCTCATGTTCATGTAAGCCAATCCCCACTCTGTCATCTACGTCAGCGGCAAAACCTGTTGCTGGCAGCCATCAGCTGTCGCCATCATTGCACTTGGACCTGGATGTATCCCACATATGTGTGCACATAAATATAGGTACATGAGTACTTGTCCAGCGGTTTTACAGCGCGTTTCAGAGCTGGGAAATCATTTGAGCGATAGTTGGGTTTTATGGAATATATTTATGCCTAAAAATGAGGTCACGGATCGGCACAGAAATGAGAACGCTTTGGGATAGCTTTTGTTATTATTATATCGATGCTAACCGCATTGAGTCATGAACCGGATAACAATCACGCTCTCGTGAATATACTAAAAAATAAATATAGTTTTTTATTGAAATAATAATTTGATATGTGTCGAATATAATTACTATCTGGTATTTTTATGAATTCCAAGAAACAGAATAATAATCAATTTCAATTTAATCTTTTTGTAGATTTATATTGAATTATTTCCAGTTTATCGCGAGTAATTTTTAATGAATAATTTAAATGATATTCTTTTCCCTTTTTTTTAAATTATTGTCATTATTTTCCCACATCAATTTGGGATGTCGCTACAGTTTCGAAACGCACCGTTTGCACGTACTGGCTAGTACTTTTGAACGTCACTGTGTCTGACACCGCTAAGACAATAAGGCAAAAGTTTCTCAGGAAAAAAAGGCCAAATAAAAAACCATGGTGGGGGGAGGGGGGACAGGCAACCCAACCAAAATTAGAACAAAGTCGCCAAGCTTGCTTTTGGATCAAAGTCACACCTTGGGGACGGACGCGGTAGGTACATATGTACATACACATGTATCTCGTGCAATTCTCACATTTCGTGCCGTCTCATAATTAAGAAAAATCTTGCAAAATTTAATGAAGCTTTGGTGTTATTGTTTTTTGCTGCTATTTCTTTTTTTTCTGCGATTGTTTCATGCAAGCTCACATACGGCTTTGTGTGTGTACACATGTATTTCTTAAGTTTGATTTATTTTGGAGTTGCCAGCGGCATTGAGGAGGGGCAGGCAGAGCAGAGTGTGGATAGCGGTGGCATTAGGCAATCGCACAAAAGCGAAAGCTAAATTGGCCAAAAGCGGCCAGAGACGACGACTTCGACGACTACGACGACTGCGGCTCAACGATGACGACAGCCACCGATGGCGGGCTATAAAATACAAAAATTCGTAAATAGCACAGCACCAGAGCTTGGAGAGCTCCCTGTAAAAACAAACGTTTCGAATCGAATACCCTGTGCAATTGTGCGCAATTATAGCTGGGGGGACACACACAAAAACTAATGCTAAACAGCAGCAACATTTTCAAACGACGAACAAAAGATAATGTCGACAACTAAACCGCAAAAGCATACATATGTACAAACACATGTACTTATCTACACACACAATCTACAAGTGTACAAATATACTATATTTAAGAGATGTCGCGGAAGTCATTCTCGACGTCGCACTTATAGTAGATGCCGCTCCTCCCCGCCATCACATCAATCCTTCTCCCATCCCGCATCGTTTGGAATGCAGACAGCGTAACACAAAAACACAAAAATAAAGCTTGATATAGCAGCGGCATCAATAAGTGAGTGCCGGAATGAGCTGAATTGCTACTGATAATGTAACAAGAGCTGCTTGACACTAATCCTCCACTTTTATGGGGATACATCACA